TGGCCCTTCGCTCTACGAGTCGCGGCCACCGCTTATAGCCGGCGCTAGTGGGTAGTGTGTGAAAGACGGAAAAGCTGCGCTTAGATTAAGTTAGTTTTTTATTCTTTATTGCACAAAAAAATATTAATCTATACTAATATATAAAGCTGAACGGTTCACTACGGTTTCGAATTGAAATCCTTTTGTGTTGGTTAGAGCATTTATCGAGGAAGGCTAAAGGCTATAAAACATCGCTCTGTGACTAATACAAGCGAAGATACAGCGAGAAATGTGAATAAAAAATTAGGAAAAGTATTCTTCATTATGGGTTTCCGAGGCGTATGCTGCGAAAACGGTCCAAGATACCCAAAAAATATGTATGATATAGTGATTTCTATTTAAGTGATCTGCGTCTGCGAATATGTCTACCTTTTAACATTAACTTGCAAGAAAGACGAGAACGGACGCAACCGTCGTCGTGGGTAACAGCTTAACTACGCGGACGAAGTCGCTGACACAGCTAGTGATATATAAAATGTATATGCTAGAATGGAGTGCAATAGGCGGCCTTATCGCTAACAAGCGACCTCTTCCAGGCAACCTATCTATTTTATTTCTCTGATCTTCTAGAGATAGAGAAATTCTTCCAAAGATAGAGTTGTGCAAGGTACGAACAAACGAAACAAATTAATACAAACAATAAATAAGAATAAATAAAAAGATTCTTAACTTAGACATAAAAACACAGATCTAAAAAAGTTTCAGGCAACTTTAACAAAGCTATACTGTGTTTGTAATTTATTTTTATTTATTAATAATAAAATGGCCAAAGCTAATTACATTAATTGTTGGATGATAGTAATGTAAGATGACAGAGTCTAGTTAAGCAGTATAGGACTTTAAATGTAGATCAAATTAAATCGTTCTTCATTAACAGATGTCTCTCAATACTTATTGACTTGATTTGTCTTGCTTATTTGGTTAGCAAATAAACAAAGCGAAATAGGGAGTACAACTGTACGTATAAAAACTATTTTTTATAATAGAATCGGACACACAAGCAATTTACTTATTGAAAGGTGAAGTAGGAGTTACATCACCTTTCAATATAAAGCCATAAACATCTTAACAAACATTTTATATCTAATATCATTTTCTCTGATAAATTCATAAATACGCACTAAGTGCGAAATTATAGTCTTACATAAAGCGTATAAGATTTTTTTGTTTTTTACGGTGTTCGCTATTACTACAAAGTAGAAGTTAAGTTAGTAAGTAAAGTAAAGCGGCCCATAGACGATCAATATTATTGTGCAATTCGGATTGCACAATACTTTGACGGCCGTTGACAGACGCTTCAATGTCGTCTACACACGATCAATTTTATTATACAACCCGGGATATTGCTCTAAAAGAGACCCATACAGTTGACTTTTAGTATCTCAAAAAAAGTCTATTGCAAAGCATCCGAAACATTGTTAAATTTTTTTTCAAATAAGTTATATAACTAATATATTTCGCATCTTAAACCGTTAAAGTGTTTTATTAAACAAAAATTGTAATCGACAATATCCTATTTAAATTTACACGACATCCAATATCATGAAGAGATATTTGATAATTCTATCTACTTAGCAGAGCTTCCAACCCGCTGCAAATCCGGCCGCTTTTTATACAGACATGGGGCAATTAATCAATTATCCGTAAAGACCACGACGTCGGGAACCCGCAGAGATTGCTTCTGATTACGTACGGATTAAGGCCTAAGACCCGTGAGAGACTCCACATGGAAATCCCTGCTAAGCGACTCTGAGCGTGACCCTTATAACCTTTCGGGTCACTGATGTCCTAAGGGCACATTCCACAAACGAGGCATCACTAATATAATAAAAAAAACTAATAATATTTTGTGATAGGGGAGGACAGACATGCATGATGTTCGCTTGATAGAAGGGGAAATATCCCATCTATATCATCTAACATGTTGCGCTGTCGACCTATTTGACTTTGGATATTCGGATATCCACAGACTTAAAACCCAAACGCGACTAAACTTTACGGCATTTTCAAAAATGAACGGTGGTTCGTGACACCGACAGATTTATGTATTTTCCTACCCATGCCCATTTAATATTCAGATTTCCAAAATGTTTCAGAAAAAAATATATAAACTATATACGCACAAGTTTTAAGACCGTTTGAAACAATAATATTTTCTAAATACACAATAAAATGCGTTTTAAACCGACCCTTACTCCCAAACTTGTCCTTACCTTTCTATAAAGCTGAAAGAGAAATTCAAACGACCTACAAAATATGATCGTTTGAATTCTCTTTTTTTTTCTCTTTAGAAGAAAAATATTCGTAATTTCAAATGAGTCCATTTTATGACCGAACAGACAATAGTGTCACATTTCTTAGTCTTGTATTTGTCGGTGGCGTGGAAAATATACTGGAATCTCTTTTAAACTTGACCTGTTAAAGAGCAAAGGAATGAATAGACTTGCATTTTGGATAGACAGTTAATGCGGTGTTAAAAAAATGGGCGAAATAAACAGTTACTAATTTTTATATATTTTATTATGATTAGAATACAAGTAATTTAAATAAATCACTTTAACAGTTTAAAACCCGATATATATTAGTGACAATTACGGTCCGACGTTTCGGATGCTTTGCGGCAGCCGTGGTCACAGGGAAACGTCAGGGTTCCGTCGGGGGAGTGATCGTCGTAAAATAATTATCAAACAAATTTAACTATTTAATATATATAGCGTTTTAAACCGTTAAAGTGTTCTATTTAAATGTGTACTACTCGCGTAAACTACAGACAATATACAAGTTATTATTTTTCAGTAGGTAACACCATAAAACATTAAATAGAATATTTGATATATTAAGTACATTTAAAGAAACAAAACAGATTAAAAAACATAGCGACGTCAATCGAAAATAATATCAGCTACTATAAGCGTAGATATTTCTTAAGTCATTGCCATAGACTATACTATAACATAGACTATACCAAACTAGACTGAGTAAACATAATCTGTGGCATTAAGAAAACAGGTAAGGATGTGTGTAATAGAGATAATAAAATTACTTTTGCAGTTTTCTCTTAGCTCGTTATCGCTGTATTTAAGCATTAATTAGTGGAGACTTTATTTATTATAAACAACAGACTTCATAAAAAGAAAATCTCTTTGTTTCGTGGCATTTCTTTAACCCGCTGTTCAGTATACCCACATCCGTACGAGGGATTACCCGACACCCGCGGGCGTTTTGTATTATCTCTTAGACTCTCCTTTTATAAAAACAAAGAGAGTACGAATTTCCTTACTTCTCACACATGAATATTTAAATAAGTGTTAGATAAAACGATTGGGGTATAACGAATACATAATTTAATAGAATTCTCATGAACTAATTTGCTACAGAAATATATGCATTATTAATAAACAAGTTTAGGTCGTAGCTGTGCTATTAGTTTTTCCTCTGTTAGTATTTTGTACGTATCTACTCAGTACAATGGTCGTAACAGCAATGAAACACTTTAAAATGGTCAAGCGCGGTAAAACCTCCAGTCTTAGTTGAAAATGTATACCAATATTATAAAGCTAATGAGTTTGCTTGTTTGTTTGTCTGCGCTATTCTTAGGAACTATTAGTTCGAATTGAAAAATTACTTTAAAGTTAGTTGGAGCTTTCAAGGAAGACTATTAAACATCAGGGAACCCTGAAAATTATTCCTTATGGAGGGCTTCCGTTAAGTACGCTGCGAAAAAGGTCTAAACCATAAAATATGTATGAAAGAATGATTATTTTTTAATTGATCTAAAAAAATGTCAGCGATAATACATGTATGTCTATCTTTTAAAATTAACTGGCTAGAAAAGGCCGCGGTCGACGTCGTAGTTGACGACTATAATATATGAAGTTGAGGAAGTTGTTTTAAAAAATAATTAATATTATGCCCAAAATTCAAGCGGACGAAGTTGCGGGCTCAGCTAGCAATTATTATAGGTCGCGTTTTAAACCGTTAAAAGTTTTTTTTATACTTCTTAATATCAAATTACTTACCAAATAAGCAGATAACTAATACATATAGAGTTATATTCTGTTTCATATCTGACGTACATCTGTGCTTTAAGCGCTGTCTTAATATAACTCTGTGTTAATTTCAGGCTGAAAGAAGAGACACTTCACACATTATATAAGCACAAGTGTGAAATGAAAATGTGAAAATGGAAGTAGGTCACGAAGGCGTCTGCTAGTGTTTCAAATGTAAGGCCAGTGTTGAATAACTTATGTTCCAAGTGATGGTCATCAAAGATTTTTAAACAGTTGGACCCAGAGTATTTATTATAGAATAGCTTTTTTTATTCTTTTGCTATTTCTCTAGATAAAAAATCAATTAAAAGCAATCATAATTTAGTAACTAGAAATATGTTGAAGATTTGATAAAAATTTGCCAATGTTTTCGTTGTCCCATATCATGATTATACGTTACATGGGTATATACTCATATACCATATATGTAGTTATCTTATATACTAAATACTGTCTATAGTTTACGCGAGTAGTACACATTTAAATAAAACACTTTAACGGTTTAAAACGCGATATATTAGTTAAACTTATTTAAAAATGATTTTTAACTACGGCCCGACGTTTCGATTCCGATTGTTTGCAATTAACGCAAGTAGTACACATATAAAAAATCATTTTACACTGTTTGAAATGCATAATATGTTAGTTAATTTATTTTATTTTTCTGACGGATATTTGGCAGATAAAAATTACTTCAAAAATATATTACACGATTTAAGCCGTTAAAAGTATTTTCTTGGTTTCAAGACTTATATTTAAGATTCTACGAAGCTCATAATATCAGCAATATTAGTTATATGTCGCACGGCTGTCAAATTTTCTTATCCAAAATAATTGATTGTTACGCATTATTATAATAGGTATTAAAAAATAATAGTTATTTACATTTGATTGAAAACACGTTTGTTCATAATGTGTTTTTTAATAAAATTTATTGTATTAAACTTTTTAATATTGCAATCAAATGCAGAATTTGATTTAACAGAACTAACTGTACACAATTATCATTTAAGAACTGGAATACCTGAAGCTGCAAGGCTGATGGCTTTGGAAGCAAAAGAATTAGCATTAAGGAATGTAAATCAAATCGTTGGTGGCAGAGTTACGGACGTTTCTGAAGTACCATACCAGGTAAGTCATAATTGAAAAAAATTCTCGATGTTTCGCCATAAGGAGTAGACGTCATCAGGAAAAGCCATCAAACATATCGAAAACCCAAGAAGCTAAAATAGTGCACGTATTCAATAAGAAATATTCCAATTTCAAAAAAATCCATAATCAAATAAATTTCCACGTCATCTTATAACCGTCGTTTTTTTATTGTCTTTACTTTTGTTGGACTTATGCAATTGTATATTTATCATGACTATAATTGTTTAAATTTGATACTACTTGTTCTCTGGTGAAAAACAGACTGAAAATCAGTGCTTAGCAAGTCTTGCTGAGCACAAGCTAACTCTGATGATATTTAGCACAAAGTAATCATACTTTTATTTTATTATTTTTTATGTAAGTTTTTTTTTTATTGTTAATTTTTAGTTGTAAGTTATGTACTTTGTATACTGTTTGTAGTTAACGGCAGTAAATTACAGACATTACACTTTTAGAGAAATCATAGAGACGGTTTAAAATACGAAATATATTAGTTAAACTTTTTTCGATGTTTTGCATGCTTTCGCCTTAGTCACGGGGAAACTAAAGATGGAGGGTGTCTCTAATGTCATAGTAAAATCTGCTACGCTAGCGACATCTGTTCCTTCGTGGTTTAGATTAGTTGTATTTTGCGAAACTGGCTGGGTTCTTGTAAAATTGACTAACAGTATCCTCGTATTTACCAATATGCTATACTGTACGCTCAATTGACCTAATATATTTCGCATTGTAAACCGTTGTAACGTTCTATTCAAATAAGTACTTTGAGTTAATAAACAGATTATTTATTTTATAAAAAAAAATAAATAAATAAATCTACCTACGGATTAGATTTATATTTAGGGAGAGAGGTTTAATTAATTATTTTTTCAGGCCGGTCTTGTCATAAAAGTCCTACGTTTGCTGACGTCGGTCTGCAGTGGGTCCCTTTTGTCACCAACACGAGTCTTAACAGCCGCTCACTGCAACCACGACGGGCGAACCACAGCACAAGACATAACAGTTGTTCTGGGTTCCAACCGCCTCTTCACTGGCGGGGAACGAATCGACTCAAATGGAATAGTTGTGCATGACGATTGGAATCCTGATACGGTGGAAAATGATATTGCCGTAGTTTTTATTCCGGCGATCACTTTTACTGGTAAGATTTAAGGTTTGAAAACTTAATTTTTCACTTGTTATCGCACATGATGGCGCTGTATAAATTAAAAATCGATTATACATTTAAGAAAAAAAAATTCGACACAGGCGGAACATGAACCGGCATAGCCCCAGCGTACCACGCACGCGCACGTAATCCTTTTTCTATCTATTGATACATGCACCTCTTGCACAATGTAATATCAACAACCGACGTACGTAACACGGGCAGTGTTGTAAATTTTCAAGCTTTATGTTTTACATAATTTGACAGATGAGGACAAACATGCATAAGGTTCCCCTGAATATTGCGTGTAGTTTACGCGAGTAGTACCTTATATAGCATTGAATAGAACACTTAACGTTTTAAAAATATATTTCGCGTTTAAAACTGTTAAAAGGGTTTTATTTCACTTGAAAAAAGTTGTTATAACAGACGAAAACATTTATAATGTTCACAAATTTGAACTCGACATTCACCATCGACTCGCTTAACCAGGCAACGGATACGGTTTTTCTTCACTATATATTTGCATTTTTCTTTTATAGATCTAATTCAACCTATTAATTTGCCGGACCCTGAACGAGAATTGTTTCTTAGCGGGACAGCAATTGCTTCTGGATACGGATTAACAAAGGACGGTGAGGTTCTTAATCAATAAATACATCGTATCTATGTATATACGTATATCGCAGAGTTTATTTTTGTTGGTTTGTTTGAAGGCGCTAATCACAACTATGCGGTTCGAATTGATGATAATTTTTGTTGCGTGCTTTGCAAAAAGGGCTCAAGATTAATTAAGTATGAAAAAATGATTCCTCTTACGATAAAAAAAATACTGTGACAGTACTATGTTTTATGCGTAAGTTACGCTAAGGCCCGTTGCCTTCATCTCCTCTTTCGCATACCTTTATAAGCCTCCAAAATTATAGATAGGAGCAAGTTAAAAACGTTTAAAAAATATTTAATATTTTTTTTTAAGCCTAAGTTCACTGCATCACCACACAATAGCTACTGGATACGGCATAATTGTAGTAAATAAAAATGCCTGCGACTTAATCACACGCAGTTTCACTTCATCATTGGAGAGACCTAGTCGTCCCTTAAATATAGGAGTAAAGAAGTATATATCGTATAATTTTTTTATGATAGTGGAGAAAGACGAGCATCCTCATGCTTGTCTTTTTTCACTTGATGGTTGGTGAAATTCCCCGGCCATATAACACGAACCGGGTGCGCCTTTGACTTATCTTGGCTTTGAATATTCGGAAATCCACAGACTGAAATCAAAACGCATTTAAACTTGATTGCTCTTTCATCTGTGATTCGTTACCCGGACGGAGTTTCGATATTCACACCACCACGATTTATGAAAACATAACTTGCGTATTAAAATATAAAATAATAAAGCAAGCAACAGGATAATACACAATTTTATTCACGATAGTTTAAGTTAATTGTAAAGTAAAAATTTAAACTAAAGCCTCTTTCAAAGACGAAACAGTTTTTTGTAGGTTAGTTTCCTCAGCTCCTGGGCAGATGTCGCCGGGGAGGTCTCGAAACCCGGGACCTAGTGAAACACTAGACCACTCTCGCAGCTTTTCCAATTCAATTAATTTAATAAAAAAAATATTCCACACCAAAGAACATACAGAAATCATACAATCATATAAAAGATACATTTATGGGTTACAATAATCACCTACACTAACTTTGCTGTGGCTACAACAGATTTGATGTAACGCCAATTTTCAGTGATGGCCCATGGGTGACACAGAATGACAGTCATTAAACCTATAGATTTTCTATAAACTTCTATTTTAATTCTTATAGGTGAGTCTATCTCGAGGAATCAATTGATAAGCTCAGTAATACTACCAATAATAACCAATGACAAGTGCAAAGAAGTTTATGGTGATATTGTTAGAGAGACAACTATTTGTACTGATGGTAGAGATGGTCACGGAACCTGTAATGGAGACTCTGGTGGCCCTTTGGCTGTTGATGTTGATAACGAGAGAGTGTTGGTATGTAAAGATATTAATACTTGAAAAAAAAATAAGATTATATTTTAAATATTGTTTTTCAAAGGCAAGGGGAACTAAACCGTTGATATAGTAAATGTCAAACTAAACAAATTTTATGCAGTCCATTTATGGTTTTTATCTATTTAGCATGTAATTATGGTTTTTACTAAGTGAATTAGATGTAGTTTTATTACTGTAATATATAATTCAGTGTCTCAAACTGTGTTTAGTGTGGTTCAACGTAAACTTTGTGGGGGAAACACGGTTTCATATAAATCGTGTGCTGGTTAAAAATGTCAAGTTAGAAAAAATACACTATACAATTCAGCTATATTCCTTTGTATGGAATGATGAATAAAATAAATTTCTCTCTTTATAGATCGGAGTCACATCATTCGGTGCTCGTGTTGGTTGTGAAAAGGGATACCCAGCTGCGTTTACACGAGTCACGTCATATGTCTCCTGGATTCTATCACTTTGAACTGCCTTTCAGGAGATAAATATAATGATTTTTAACACAATTTTATATCTAGCGTTTTCGTGATTATTTACGTTATGCGATGCAATTTTCAATATTTTTTTAAATTATTGAATTTGACGAGCTCGTTAGTCGTAACGTAATGATAGCTATGTAGGGATCAACCGGTCGTAGGTGCGATGCCGCAAAGTCCAACATCTTTCTAATCAATTCATAATTTTTCTGAAACATGCTGGACTTCGTCGTTATTAAATGGGTCACGAACTAGCATTCACTGACAAAAAACCTGTGAAGTATTTGTCTCCTGTGGTTTTCCGAGTATCTAAAGCCAAAGAAGGTAGTCGGCGTACCTTGATGAGTTGTTATATAACTAGGGTATTTCTCACTACTTAAATTAACAAACTGATAACAAAAATGGAGGTTCCATATCTGTATTTTTTTCAACTCAACAATAAACCATTTTGCCAATTATATGAAATCAGGTAAGCACATTTACATCAATCGATCCACATCAAAGTTCCCAAAAAATAAACACAATTGATGTTAAACTCGAAATACAGCAATTCTTAAGCAGCACAAGATATCAAAACGTAGCCATCAAACGCGTGAAAAATGAATGAGGTTATCAGAGCAGAGGAGGGGAATAATTGAGATCTTCACAATCGCGATATGATGGATTCCACACCTCCCCGCCATTAAATCTCTCTTCAAAGGGTAAATCTATATTTAAGTGCCTCCAAGTTCTCACTTGTAATTACATTTTTATGTTGTCGAGGGTTAGCAACTTCGTGAAACTAATGCCCCTTACAAATTCGACTATAATAGAGTTCTCGATTCGAACCTGGGACCCTCTTTGCGTAGTTTCAGTTTAATATGTTTTGCGTAAAACTGATATACTTATGCGAGTATACTAGAATGGCCTGCTGGGCTAAAAAGGTAATTCCCGTGAAATAGAAGGCAAATATTGTTTATAATTTACCCGATTAGTACTCATTTAAATAAAACAATATTAACGGTTTAAAATGCGAAATATATTAGTTAATTAATTTTAACTACAGACTTTTGGGATGCTTTCCAGGAGCCGTGGTCATGGAGGGACCACGACTAAATTAACTAAATAAGAAGATAAATGAATAAAATTAGGTTAATTTTTTTCTAAAACCATTTCATATTTTCTATACAAATTAGAAGACTATAAAGAATTTTATTATAAAAACGTACTAAGCGAACTAAACAACAGAATTTTAAAAATCGATTGTAATTGGAATAAGTTAACGACTCGGGCAGAACTCGAACTGGCATCCACAGAGAGCGTTCCATGCTGTCGCTCTTACCAATTGAGTTACCGTGTCCTAGGACCTCTCGTGAAATGTAATTTCAACCTTAACACTTGCATATTAAGGTCCAGTCGGAGTCGTACAGTTTTTTCATTTTATAGTCGATCTTCAATTATACAGTGCCATCATGTAGCCTGTGAAAAATATTAAAGTTTTCAAAAACATAATTTTATATAAAAAATATAGCAAAACCAATCACTTAAATGAATATTTATTACATAATGGTCGTGTATTGAAAATTAACCCCAGCCCTAACATGAAACCTTTGAAGAATATCTGGCGACGCGAAACGTCACAGTATTATTGTTATTTAAAAACAGGAATTCCCTTTTCATACCTATTTGTATCAATTTACATAACTCAAATTATACCTCGCTATATGATGACATGTCTGACAACGCCTGTAAAGTATTTTTATTTGTAAAGTATACTCTGTCGCGAATAAATTGGTTATTTTTGTTTTCATAAAAGTATCGTCATTGTCATATACATACGTCTAGTAGTAGTATAAGTATTATTCATGTGTGAGACATTTGGAGATCCCCAAGAGCGCGCTTTGATAGTAACTTCTTGCCGTGTACAACCGCACTATGTAATCAACTGGCGTCCGCGATATGTCCTAACATTTATGATATCAGTACCTTCAACCATAAAAATAAAGGACGGCAACGTGTAGGAAACACTTAACGGCTAGAGAGTCTCCCGAGCCGATGTTATACCTCTTTCCTTGATATTTTTTCTATAATCAACAACCTTGTATTGTCCTATAAATTGTTGTGTAAGTTATCCCGATCCAACACCCAAAGTAATAGTTTCTTCATGTTAAAGTTTATTAATTTCTCAAGTTTTCGTATTAGCGATACTATAATTGTTTCGACAGACGCCGACAGACACACACGTCAGGGGACGCGTTTGCCGATGCCGTCTGCAGACGCATCTGTCTATATGTGGAAGGGACAATGGGTTGCATGACATGGTAACGGTAAACACTCATTCAAAACCAGCTGAGGTAAAGTTATAAAACGGGAAAGAAGATGGGTAGGTATGTTATGCGTAGGTAGATTAACCAATGGATATAGAAGTCGTTATTCTACGAATTATGGGACAGACATTTTTTTGTACTTTTGACTATAGTATTTCCCATTTAGATTACTAAAAACAGTTCCGTATTTAATTCCTAACAATAATATTGCGCCCTATTCATTATTACACATATTTAACTGTATAATAGGTTTGTAAAATTATGCGAGCTATGAACTATATTATCATCTCGTCATAAAAGAGCCTTACGGTATGATGTGTGCGTACACCTTACGCATTTTGATAACAATGATATAAAGTTAGATACCATAGAGAGGTTTTTATTAAGAATGAGTGAACATCAACTATATGACGATAGTATCCCGGGTTAGTAGTTTCACCTGTAAAACCTCTTTTCTCCTACCTCCTTACTTAAAAAAAAAATCAAAAAGAAACCATCAGGTTCAGTATAATGATTTTTTATTGCATTACGTACACGTAAACGCTTTAATAACACTCCGTCTAAAAACATCGCAATTGAAAATATTTATTACTTATTGCCTAAATGTTTCGCGTTTAAAACCTTTAGATGTTTTATTTTATAAGACAAATTTGAATATAATAAATTGTAAGATATAGTCTCAAAATAACGTTAATTAAACGTATAAAATTCGATTGAATATAACAATTCCGGCAAAATTATAATCCCCACTTCCACCATCACCACTACACAAGTGCAGTGAAAGCGAATCAGTCTTTCCCAAACACAAACACTCAGTCGGCCATCTTCGTTTGGTTCCGTAGCACGCTTCGTTATTACTAAAACGGGGTCACGTTCAATGACGGCGCGGTCACTGAATATTTTTGTATATTACGACATCAGTGTCGTCAGCCGCTTACCTCATAACATCCATCTATTATTAGGTACGCAACCGACATAGCTACTAGCCGTAAGCAGTATTTCACCTAGTTACCTCCGCGTCGCGAATCAAAACGAACGAAATGGATAAACACTGCTTGCTATTCGTTTTCGTCGCTCAATTGTTCGCCGCGCACACCTACAGAATACTCGGCGTGTTCCCGTCCCTCGACAGGAACAACCATCTCACTTATAAAGGACTGTTTCGTGAATTGGCTAGCCGTAACCACGAGGTGACGCTTATAAGCCACTATCAAACGCCCGACGCGCCAGATAACTACAAAGAGATTCCGTTAAGCAAAAACCAAAACGTGATAAAAGGTTTATCTTTCGAGTCGGTCATAGTGAATGATGTATCGCGAGTGCCGTTCGAAGTGTTGGTGTCTACTAAAGCGGGGAACGACGACTGCAAAACTCTAATGAATAACAGTGAGGTGTATCAAATGATAAGGGGTCAGCCTCGATTCGATGTTATTGTCGTGGAGTCTTATAACAGTGACTGTGGTATCGCTTTAGCGGCAAATTTGAGTGCACCCTACATCGCCTTCAATCCACAACCGCTACATCCCTGGCATTTCAATAGAGTGGGGATCAATTTCGATTCGGGGCATGTACAGCAGTCGCTGTTGCAATACGGGAGGCGACCTTGGTTTTTCGAACGCGTGAAGAGTTATATTTTGTACCATATAACTCAATGGGTGTATTATATTGGCTCTCAAGTGACGGATCACGTTTATTTATACAAATTTTTGGGTGATGACTTACCTACTTTGGAGAGTATCGCTTCGAACGCGAGCCTGGTGTTTGTAAACACACACCAATCTGTATTCGGTGGGGTCGCTAGGTCTGATAACGTAATTGATATCGGTGGTATTCATATCAGGCCGCCTAAGATTATTCCCACGGTGAGTAGGTACCTTTTATAATTACTATTAACTCTGTAAATTTACGCTTCAACGCGTTGAGCGTAACGGAACCTGGGTTCGAATACCAGGGAAGCAAAATCTATACTACTACTACTATATTAAAAATTTGAAGTGTTTGTTTGCTCTTTTAAACGTGCAACTAATCCCGGAACTAATGGTTTGAAATGAAAAACTATGTTCGTGTTAGTAAGACCATTTCTCGAGCATAGTTATGGATTGGAGCGCATGCATTATTATTTCACTAGCTGGGCCCGCGACTTCGTCCGCGTGGAATAGTTATTTCGGGTACCTAAATTGATATTAGGAAACTCCTCAGTTTTATAGATTATTGCTGTAACCCACGGCGTCGTCCGCGTCCCGTCTTTCTTGAGAGTTAATCTTAAAAGAGATATATACTGTCAAGATTTTTTTAAATCAGTTAAATAGGCACATATTTTTTGGTTTGTTGAACCGTTTTCGTAGCTCACGCAATGGAAGGCCTCAAAGATAAATAATGCTCCTTGTTTTTTCTCTACTGTTTCTTCGCTCTTAATAATCGCAGCGTTAAATTGATTCTCGATAAGTGGTCTATCCAACACAAAATCATTTAATTCAAACCTCTAGATATTTCGAAATATTTGGATTCCTGAGATAAGCGCGTTCAAACAAACAAACTTTCATACAATGAGTATAATCTATACTCATATTACGAGCCCGTATTAGTGTGCATATGTGTACTTGATCTATATACATTTTTTCTTTTGAATACAAATTACGATAAGATAAATTCTCAATTGTTACAACCAAAATCGTAATACCATTTTTCTATTTAAAATTCTCACTACTCCTCATTATTTCCAGGAGCTGGAACGATTCCTAACTGAAGCCGAACACGGCGTCATTTACGTGAACCTAGGTTCCACTGTAAAGGACTCGACACTACCGAGCGATAAATTAAATGAACTGCTATCAACATTCGAGAAATTGCCTCTTAGAGTGTTGTGGAAATGGGACGGAGGCGTCGTCGGGAATCTGCCAAGAAACGTTATGACCATGAGATGGCTGCCTCAATACGATATCTTAAGTGAGTACCGCACATATTCAATTTCATATTATCGTGTGGAACATTACATTCGCGGTAAAGGTGCTTCTACTGGTTTTTATTGAATATAATACTTTGTGAAATGTTTAAATAGAACACTTTTAATGGTTTAAAAATATATTACATAAACTTATTTACAGATTATTTTAACTACAGCAATTTTCCAAACCGCCTCTGTAGCCAAATGGCTAAACGTATTGCCTAACACTGCGTTAAGCGCGAGAGGTCTTGGGTTCGTATCCCAGAGAAACATAACATTGTTTCGGTCGGGCAGGGCACAGAAGTCTGATCAACTACTTGCCCGATAAAAGAACGGATCAGTGAAACGGACACAGGAATGTGTTCGTCCCTGGGGCATGGGGCGAGGGGGAAACGGGCTCTCACTATTTATTTTTACAAAAGTGTAGCAATGTAATTTTTGCCGGATGTTTACGATGCCTTGCAGCAGCCGTGGTCACAAATAGGTTTAACTAATATATTTCGCAATTTTAAAGTTAAGTTTTATTTAAAATATTTTTTAATTTTTAATATATAAACTAAATAAACATTTTACAACACTACATTTTTTTAACTATAATAGCTCAGTTTGTAAGAAATCATTATCTTCCTTTCAGAACATTATAACGTCAAAGCCTTTATATCACACGCCGGTATTCTCAGCACCATAGAAGCGGTGGATGCGGGCGTTCCGGTTATAGCAGTGCCTCTCTTTGGAGACCAATATGGAAATGCTGCAGCTCTGGTAGATGCTGGCGTAGCTACAATAGTGCCTTACCAAGACTTGAAGAAGGAATATCTTTTAGATGCTATAAATGATGTACTAGATGAGAAGTAAGTAAACAATAACTATCAACTAAACATTCAACTCTGGCGCATATGAATTTCGACTTTAACGATTAACATTTAAGGTTCAATTGACTAAATCTATATGTATATTATAAATGTTCAAAATCAACATCTAATTAGTTTTCAATGACGAAATATGTAGCTTTATAATGTAGGCTTTAATAGAATTTTCTCTTTGAATACAACTCTAAAATTTATTCATGATTTAAAGCTTAACTGAAACGTGGGCTAGTAAATACAAAGAGGTATTCTTAGTCTTAAAATAAAAAAAGAATCTTTATTTAAATTTTATCATACTCTACTAACTAAATGTATCCAAACGTATTATTCTGTACCAAAGTAACAATCGTATTAGTCTGGTACAACACCCACGTCGAGTCGACATTAACTACATGACCTCATAAAAACAATCCTTCTAATACAGTTAAAACGGGGAGCTAATAACAGTAATTACGTTCAATAAAATTAACTTAGAACTAATTATTATTTGGTATCTTTCAGGTGTCAAAGACAGGCAAAGATCCTCTCTAAAATGTGGCACGACCGACCTATGTTACCACTAGACACCGCCATCTATTGGATAGAATATGTAGCTAGATACCAAGACGTGTCAAGTTTAAAAGCGACATCTGCTAGCCTACCATGGTACCAACAAATGCAGCTGGATGTTCTTGCATTCGTTGGAACCATCTTATACATATTGCTGCTAGTAATTCGCAAATTATTCGATGTAATTTGCTGCTGTTTTTGTCAAAATGCAGAGAAACAAAATGAAAGAGTCAAAGTAGATTAAGCTAATCTATATGATATATGTGAAGTACTTAAGTGACTGGTTAACTTCTAGACTGTTTATTTATTTGTACTATTAAATACATTTGTTATATTTATATTAGGTTTGTTTTAATATTCTACTTCAATTTGTATGAGATAAGTAATTCGCGAATAGTAATATCACATTTAAGGAAAAACTATTAAGAAAATAAAATTATATTCCTTAAACATAGTAAAAAAACATATATACTTAACTAAACTATTACCTATGTATTGTAAAAGGATGCATGAATAACTGAGTATAAATATAAATAGCTGAGTAGCCACTCAGCTGTGATATAAATCATACGAAGGCTATCTTAAGAGGAAAAGAATCTGTTATAGCAAGCTTATATGAGCAAGTGAAAAGCTTATAAATGTAAGAAAGTTCGTACGTAAATAAGTAATACACTCAAGCTTTAATAAGTATGAAAAAATACATAATGTTTATAAAATGTACACCAACATAATAGAAAATATGTGAGTATCAAATCAGCAATGACATGAGAACGTAACATTTTTATTGCTACTAAAATTGTGGTACACTATTAACAACTGTCACGAATTTACGCAACTATTTCAACACGAAACGATAAACATCAAGTCACACTTGGGTAAAATGCACCTATCCGCTGTAACACTGAGTGCTATTTTATTAAACTTTACTTCTTCTATCCAAGGATATAACATTTTAGCTGTCTTGCCTTATCCAGGAAGAAGCCACCATGTGGCATTCGAACCCTTACTTAAGGAACTAGCCAGGCGGGGACACAACGTGACTCTGATCTCCTACTACCCTCAAGAGAAACCAGTTAAGAACTTTCACGACATTTCCCTTTCCTCAGATCACTCTTTCCAAAACTGGGTATCTGCAAGAAGTCCATCATATTGGACTGTATTTATATCAGGAGTGGGTTTAATATACACCGGAGCAAGCTCTTGTTCATCCCTCCTCGCTAATAAAGGCGTTCAAAACCTTTGGAAGAGCCAGGCGAAATTCGATGTTGTAGTGGCTGAACAGTTTAATAGTGACTGTCCTTTGGGATTAGCTTATCAACTAAAAGCACCAGTGGTTGGAGTCACGGCCAACTCGCTAATGCCCCAGCATTACAAACGTTACGGTGTACCAGACAATCCTTCATACACTCGGAACCAGATTTTGGGAGGTAGAATAAAAGGAACCTTATACGAAAGAGTTGAAAGGACCTTAGTGGGTTTCTACATAAACTATTTCGTAGATTTTGCTTGCCAGGTCTTAGATGGGTATATTCTTCGGCAATATTTTCCCTCTATCCCTCCTGTAAAAGAATTAGAGAAGAATATCAAGTTTCTTCTACTATATCAGCATTTTACTTTAAACAGTGCCTTACTTTTGCCTTCCAATGTAATAGAAGTAGCAGGATATCATGTGGTGGAAACGAAAGCTTTGCCAAAAGTAAGTGCATAACATTGATTACAGATTAATAACAAAAATTTGTTGTAAAGCTAATATACATAATCGTCATTTAGATATTTTACCGTTTCAGAAGTTGAAAAAGTTTATGGATGAATCTAAGCATGGTGTAATCTACATAAGTTTTGGTTCGATGATAAAAGCTAACTCGATTCCTAGTTATAAACTACAAGCAATCATAGATGTGCTCGAAGAACTCCCACAAAATGTTATATGGAAGTGGGACGATGATAAGTTGCCCTTTAAATTGGATAAAATGTATTCTGAACATTATTGGTTACCCCAAAATGATATAATGGGTAAGTTCGATTCTTACCAGCTATAAGATTCACAGGTATTAAAGGTGATACAAAAAAAAGTATTTTGTATTTGTAGTTTAATATAGTGGTGTACATTTAATAAATCTATATTATCTATTTTAATTAAAATGCAAGAAATTGTGCAAAATGTATCCTGAATGTGCTATAAATTCTTTTTTGGTACAGGCCACCCAAATTTAGTGGCTTTCTTTTCTCATTGCGGTCACGTGGGTTTGACCGAAGCAATCCACCATGGTGTACCAGTAGTGGGAATGCCCATGTTCGGAGATCAGATATCCAATGCTGCAGCAGTTGCGGAAAGCGGTTTGGGGGTTCAAATCACACTTGATGAACTAACAAGGGAGAAGCTAAAAGAGAAATTTAAAACTATTTTGGATCCAATGTAAGACATTACTATATTCCTTCCTCTACTAAGTACATATGTTTAACTTTATTAGTGATCAAATTTACATTAGATATTATGTTCATCGCAAAATGTTAAATACGTACATTTTAAAGAATTTTGCGGTTTAAACCGAATTGTTTTCAATAATTTTTAATAAAAAAAAATGATTGAGTTTCTTTCAATCTAGTCCAAACAATGTATATATTGATTTCAGGTTTAGGAAGAACGTAAAAACTTTATCTAGGATGTACCGAGACAGACCTACCTCCTCTCTAAACACTGCTGCGTTCTGGATAGAATTCACGGCACGTTATCCAAATTCATCCTTTATAAGTCCCATATTAAAGATTCCATTATATCAATATTATTGCTTAGATATATTTGCTATATTTGCATTACCCATCCTAGTTATAACTTTGTTCTCAAAATTAGTCTTATTTTGTATATGTAGACGACTTTGTTCTTTCTCGATACGAAAAAAGCCGAAGAATAAAATTGATTAATTCGTTTGATTTGTGAGTAATAAAGAACGTTGTAAACATTGATATTTTTTTGTTCACAACATTCTACTACAGTTATCTAGTATCCATTAAAGCGAATGGAGTATGTTTTATTTGAGCATTCAAATACCTAATTTAAATGCTTCCTCATAAAGGCACAAAAAGAAGCACAAGCACTAAAGAATCTAATCACTAGATCAGTTGTAATGTAGGTTTTATAAAATATACACGCGTTACAATGAGACTAAATACTTTATTGATTTTTTGGTGGGTGCTATATTACATTTCTTATGAAGCGCACACATTGAATATTCTTGGAATATTTCCATATCCTGGTCAAAGTCATTTCTTTGCCTTCAAACGTTATCTGGAAGAGCTAGCGATTCGTGGCCATAATGTGACTGTCATATCATATTTTCCTCGGGAACAAGTTCTGCAAAATTACCATGACATAAGGTTAGTTGGCAACACGAAGGTTTCGGAGAAAATTCTTCCACGTCAACGATCGTATTGGCAGTTGTTAACTACAAGCTTATTACTTGCGTCAACCGGGACTGAAAGTTGTAGAGCCATGCTAGGAGATGTCAAAGTACAGAGTCTCTGGAAGTCAAATGCTCAGTTTGATATATCTATTGTTGAACAATTCAACAGCGACTGTTCTCTAGGACTAGCTCATAAGTTAGGGGCTCCTGTGGTTGGTGTAAATTCCCATGCTCTTTTACCTTGGCACTATAACAGGTTTGGCATTTCCTACAACCCGGCTTACGTGCCATTTCCTTTCCTTGAATCTGGATCAACCCTCACCTTCTATCAAAGAATAGAGAGAACGGTGTTTAATGTATATTTTAGATTTGTTTATAAATTTCTATGCCAACGTGTCGATCAGAATACATTGGCCACATATTTCGATGATGTCCCGCCTTTAGAAGATTTGGCTACGGAAATTAAACTGTTACTTTCATACAGCAATTTTATTCTGAGTGGATCAAATTTGTGGCCAGCAAATGTTATTGAAGTTGGTGGACATCATGTTGATACGCCAAGAGAAATACCAAAAGTTAGTATATATTAAGAAAGTTGTTATTGTTATCAATTAAATTCCAAAATCAGATGACTGAAAATTTTCATGATACGTACCGATATGTTTACATAATAAAATTCTTACTAAGTGTGAGAAAAGGGATAAATATTTATAAGTATTAAAGTATGCCCAAATATTCACATGTTGTTTTAGGACATACTGAAGTTTATAGAGGAGTCTGAACACGGAATCATTTACATAAGTTTTGGATCAATGTTAAGGGCAGCATCTGCTCCGGAGTATATAGTGTCTACTATTATATCTGTTGTATCTGAACTTCCACAACGTGTACTTTGGAAATGGGAAAACGTGACTTTACCAGGCAATCCCAAAAATATAATGATATCAAGCTGGTTTCCACAAAATGATATTTTAGGTATTATCGATAATATGTAATAATTCAAATTGACTTATCGATATTACTACAGAAATAAATGCTCGCTTATAACTATTAAACGTCTTCGCCAGCTTCAAATATTTTTTCCTGGAAGGCAAATAAAAAAAAGGTAAATAAACATCTAAGAGGAGTTAAGCATATATCTTTTATAATTTATCAAACGTTCATCATGAATACGATCACCCGTGTAATTAAAATAACTAAACACTGGTGAGAATTTAGTAAGTTTCATAAGCCATTACATGTGTTTTATTTAAAAACATCTATTCCTTCCAGCACACCCAAAAACTTTAGCTTTTTATTCGCACTGTGGGGCGTTGAGTATAACAGAAGCTATCTACCACGCTGTGCCAATTGTGGGAATGCCTGTATTTGGTGATCAGGCAGTAAACGCTGGATTCGTAGAAAAAAGTGGTCTTGGCGTTCAAGTTCACCTCAGTGAATTGACTAAAGAAGTACTTTTAGAAAAATTTAATATTGTTCTTGATAAAGGGTGAGTAACCAAATATTATTATTACTTAAGCATTTACATTGAAACAAGACAATACAAGCTGTATGAGATTAATAAATTGAAAAAAAGATTAAAACCTCAGTAACTTAAACTTGTAACTGTTAAGAAATACGTATGTACGTAATAAGTTGTTTTTTGCGCACGTCATATTTTACGTTAAAAATCTTCTGATGTTTTATAAAACAGAATTAACAGACGAACACTGGGGGTTTTACTGAAAATCAGTATTGTAGTGTGATGCTTCTGGCATGACTTCAAAGTAATTTTATTCATTTTATATTAATAACTTTATCGTTATTACTTATTATCTCCTAGTATCTTTATTTACATAACAAGACAAGAATTATCTTGAGTTATCAGCGCCAATTAATATAATTGCCAACTATAATCATTCATCGTATTTAGATTCAGAAGCCGTGTAAAACTGTTGTCCAGGGCATGGCACGATAGACAAACTTCACCTATGGATAGTGCAATATTCTGGACCGAATTTGCTGCGCGGAATAAGAACTTCACTATCAGAAGTCCAGCAGTGAATGTTCCCTTCTACCAATTCTATAATATAGACGTATTAGCATTTATCATATTGTTTCTATCACTTAGTGCTTTTATTGTTGGAAACATCTTCATATTTTTATATAGTAAAAATTCTCTATACGGTCATGATCTACAGACGAAAAAGAATAAATGATAAAAGTTATTTGCTTTTTTTTTACATTATACTATATTCGAAACTAACTGATTGTTAAGAAATAAAAATTAATACTTAAATAAGACACTTTTATACGCGAAATATCTGAAATCTGAAACGTGGGTAAGCCGCAGTTAAAATTACTTGAAAATTTGTGAAGTTATAAAATTCTAAGTGTTTTTTTTTAATGTATGCTACTCGTGTATACTACAAACAATACTAAAACATTACTATGTTATAGAACTGTTTTATTGACCTTAGGTACGTGGTGGTTAACTTAGGTGGAAGTTCGATTCACAAACTAATTAGGTATTCCTTAAATAGTATATTAAAAAGAATTGTAGTAAATATATAAAAGACTTTATAACACTACTGCTTGTCATTTCAAAGTAAAAACATAATATCATACTGCTATTTCGTACTATAGTGGTCACTTCTAAGGCTGAATAAAGGTTTTTAAAATTAAACCAAATGAGACAAGTAGGTATGGTCCTATTTAGGTTTTAGAACATTAAGAATACGAAGGTACACCAAGTACTATTCAAACAACTTAGGTAGATTAGATTAGGTATAGGTATCAGCAATTTAGAGAGTACTAAAAAAGGTATAACCATAGACTAGATAAGAAAAGTAGTAGATGTAGAAAGAGTCACGACAAAGGTGTCATTAAACATTTCTGTTTAAACAAAGGCATTAAATAGATAATAGCATCACGTTCACAATTCGCAAGCTTGCAAACTTGTTTCGAATCACGATGAGATTGAGCGGACTAGTGTTTGTATGTGTAATTATAATTAAAAGCATTTTATTCAAACCCGTGCACACATACAACATCCTCGGTGTGTTTCCGTTTATGGGAAAGAGCCATTTTTATGTATTCGAAGCCTACGCAAAGGAGTTGTCTAGAAGGGGACATAATGTCACAGTGCTATCTTACTTTCCGCAGAAGCAGCCTTTAAAAAACTACCACGATATCGATTTAGGAAAGGACAACAAGTATTTTGAGTTTCGGCATCCTATAAAGGTCTCTTTCTTCCATATCCTTGTCTCTTTCACGATATTGCAACCAGTCGTCGGGCCGTATACCTGTAGAATGATTCTTGAAGATGACGAAGTTCAAAACTTACTGCGTTCGGGACAGAAGTTCGATCTTGTAGTTATGGAGCAATTTAATGTGGACTGTCCCTTGGTTATAGCCTACAAACTCGGAGCACCAGTAATAGCCATGACTTCGGGCGTGCTACTACCGTGGCACTATAGTCGATATGGTGTGCCTTACAACCCCTCCTATGTATCATACGACATCTTTAAAGGCGGAACAAAACCAACCTTCTTAGAACGCATTGCAAGAACTTTGACCTATCATTACATGAACTTTATGCAATCTGTTTGCTCTACGTCTGAAGATAGGGTGATATCCGACTTCTTCAAAGATGTTCCTCCTATAGAAGAATTACGGCGTCAAGTCAAACTTCTACTTCTTTACCAAAATTTCGTTGTTAGCGGCTCACAATTATTGCCATCAAATGTAATTGAGGTTGGTGGTTTTCATGTAGGAATACCAAAAAAATTGCCAAAGGTAAGTCACTTACTTACTAATATTCCTTATATCATCACTTGGGTCCTCTTGGATGTTGGGGGCATATAACATTGTCTTTACTTCTTTTATTTGTTTGTAACAAAGAAATATACTACCTCACAATTTCAGGATTTAAAGGCTTTTATTGAGGAATCCGCAAATGGTGTGATTTACGTAAGTTTCGGTACAATACTGAATGGGTCATCAATGCAACGATATGTGTATGACGCAATATTGGGAGCGTTAAAGAAATTACCTTACAGAATAGTCTGGAAGTGGGAAAAAGAAATAGAGGGAAATCCAGACAATGTTTATCGTGGAAAATGGATGCCTCAGAATGATATATTAGGTAATTAGAATCGCACGAATATGACTTAAAGATGCATCTTAACTTAGTGTCTAAAATATTATATCAAACTGTAAAACCGACTAAAAATACAATTTCCATGTAGATGAAACGTGAAGACATCCTTATTATCATATTTCTGATACCATGCCAATACCCTCACAATTTCTAATTATTGTATTATTCGTTGAGACATAGAATAAAACCTATGAAAAACTCAAAATTGCATATTTCAGCGCATCCAAAAGTTGTAGCTTTTTTCTCGCATTGTGGTCAGTTGGGGACAACAGAAGCTGTCCATCATGGAGTACCTATCCTCGGGATGCCAATATTAGCTGACCAATTCGCAAACGCAGCTATCATTGAAGAACAGCGTCTGGGTGTACACGTGGATATAAACAAAGTGACTAAGGAGATGCTGTTGGAAAAATTTAATACGATTTTAGAGCCAAGGTAAATTACTAACGAAGTAAGATACAGACGAACAGACACCTTGTACTTATTATATGAACATAAAACTCAAGACTTTGTGTGACTTTGTTTGTTTGTTTGGGCGCGCTAATCTCAGGAACGATTGGTTCGAATTGAAAATTTCTTGTTTGTTTTTTGTCTTTTTCGTTGGTTAGAGCATTTATCAAGGAAGGCTATAAAACAGCGCCCTGTGACAAAACGAGAAATCTGAAATAATATGGGAAAATTATTGATCATTATGGATATTTGAGGCGTAGGCTGCGAAAGCGGTTCAAGATACCCAAAAAAATATGTATGAAAGAATGATTTCCCTTTAAATTTAAAAAAAGTCCTCGACGCTATATGTCAATCTTTAAAGGTTAACTTGCAAGAACGACGGGAAGGGACGCGCCTGACGTCGTGGGTAAAAACGAATTTGGATGGCCAAAATCGAGTCGCCCAAAAAAGAGTCTCGCGGAGGAAGTCGCTGACACGCTCAGTATATAAAAAAAGGGGTTAGACTCTCGTAGTGTCGGTAGAAGTCGATTCTTATATATTTAACTTTTAAAGCATTCTTGATTATTTGTAATGAATGGGGAATAATTTTGCACTAATTACTTGAATTATCAGTATAAATGTAGTTATACTGATAATTAAAGTGTAAAGATATTTATGTGGTAAATTATAATACCTTACCTATCTTTATTGCGAAGTCGTACGCAAACATGACAATGTGTATCGTCTACCCTCCCTCCGTCTTACGAATTGTCGATTAGCTATTAGTGAAGAGAGTTTAAGAACTTAACCCTTAAAGATGTACACGGCTAAAGAAGTTTTGAAAAATCGATTTTAGATTGTAAATACATGCACCTTTATTTATTTAGCAAAAAGGATACAAACAGATACATTACATAAGTGGCTAGGGAATAACAATAAAAAAATAACCTTATTTTTTTACTGTCGCATCCAACAGTTTCACAAATAATTAAATGTTACATACAATATGAAAAAACAAAACGTCGATAAAAATTACAGGAAATTAGACAAAATTTTATATAAGAGTTGACAAACAAATAAAATTAATTGTACGTTTAACTAAAAACTAACCAACACTAACATAATTAAATTGAAAGACTTTAGGCTAGATAAGCAATCTTTTTAATGTTTTTTTTTTTAATGAAGCAGTAGAGGAGTGCCAAAACAAATCTATATCAAAATAATCGAGGGAAGAACACATTCTGTGGAGTGGCTTGCGGAACCTAATATTGGTTCTAGGAGTAGGAAGGTTGAATGTTCTGTGCATGCGTAGAGGCCTGGCTGGTACATTAAATGGTATAAGCTCGAGAAGTTGAGCGAAGAAGAAGAGCGTTGAAGAGAAGAAGCAAGTCAATTCGTTGACACATATTTTTCTAAGCGTTACACAATCGATTAAGTGTCGTCTTTGGCTTATGGAAAGTACATTATATCGCTTAAGGAGGTCCTGTGCCTGTGCCTGCCAGAAGCACTGTTGAGGCGATAATTAAGAATTCGTAAGAATTTTTCTGCACACCTCCTACTTGATCCATGTATACAGCGTAAAAAGGATTCCAAATTTGGCAGGCATATTCTAATTGAGACTGCACAAGCATTTTATAAAGGTATATGTAGGGAACTTCGTTTTTGAAAGGTCGTGTGACTCTTGTAATGAAACCTTTCACGCAATAGATTGATCTAAAATCAATTTTTAATTTATATAATGCCATGATATGCATTTAAACTTCAAAAAATATTCAAGTTTTCACATCTCAAATATATAACATGATTCCAATTGTATTACTCCAACAATGGAGGGTTTTACATAAATAGACTGGTGTGGATCTTTGAAATAAAACGCACATTAATAATAAGAACATTTGTTCTCCGTTCAGACTCGTTTTACCATTGAGACAAAAAGTGGGGTTAGGGACACACTTGAAGCCAATAAAACCTGTCTTGACAAAATTTTATGCTAAAAATGGCTCGTTGGTTCAGTGGTAGCAACGTGTGACTGCTAATCAACAGGTCCCGGGTACCCCACCGGGGCCAACATGTTTGTAATTTTTCAATTTATAATTTTTCTGAAACATCTTCTCATCGTCTGGAATTCTTGATATTAACTGCAACATGAAGCGCGTTTCGGTTTGAGTCTGAGGGTTTCCGAATATCCAATAACAAAATAGGGCGACAGTGCATCTTGTGTAGATATAATAAGCTGGGGTATTTCACCTCGTTAAAAAAAATACTAAAATAATACTCATGTTATTGAACTTGTATTTTTCAGCTTCAGAGCGCACGTCAAGGAACTCTCGAAAATGTGGAGGGACCGTCCCGTCACCGCTCTTAACACAGCAGTACACTGGACCGAATTTGTAGCTAGGTACCCAAATGCCACATTTAGATCACCCATCGCTGAAATACCTATGTATCAATACCTCTGCTTAGACGTTATGTTAATTCTGTCAATTATGTTAATTTCTGTAATAATAGCTGCTAAATGCCTCATTACATTACTTTGGAAGTCAAAATTCAGGAAAGTTAAAACATGGTAAAATTATTTGCTATACCATAAACTTTGTTGTTTAAAATTAATTTTTGTGTTACTCAAACGCTATAAAAGATTTTTGTTTAAATAAAACCACTTTAACCCGATTAAAATTCTATGTATTTTACTAGTTAACCTATAAGAATATTTGATTAAACTTAAGTCGCATAATTGTGTATGTTGTCTTCTTGCAACCTAATTATGATTTATTTTTTACTTAAAAAGCTAAGTAAAGAACATAATACCATTTAATTATGTTATTTACTTAGGTCTTAAGTCATTTAAATATAAAAAAAAACATGTATAATATAGGATGGTTGAAAATTGTATTTATTATATTAAAATTGGTGAACTATTCTACCATAGACAACATTGCCGAATATTCTAATATGCAATAGTAGCGTAAAATATTATAAACAATATGTGCTCAAATCTCTAATCTTAGTTTACAATAATAAGGTGGCAATTGACTTTTTATCATCTACTTCTTTACTACAAAGGCATGAACTGTCAAACTTGTCACCCTATATAAAACAAGGCATAGTTGCACTTGAAAAGCCCGCCAAGGATATATGAAGACCTTGCTTTATGACGAAACACTTTTAGTCGGTAAATTTATTCACTTACGTGCGGTTGTATCTCTCGTTTTATGTGACAATGTATCGCGCGCTATCAATATTGTTAACGATTTTAACATTCCAACAATGTGATTCACTGAATATCTTAGGAATATTCCCTTACCAGGGCAAAAGCCATTACATCGTTCACCGGATTTACTTACAAGAGCTCGTAAGACGAGGCCACAACGTAACAATTATTTCGCACTTCCCAGAAACGAATCCGCCGCAAAATCACCATGATGTCAGTCTGGCGGGAAGTATAAAGATTTTGGAAGACGACATGCCTTTAGTGAGAAATTATCGAACTGTAATCAGTATAGCTACATTCCTAACTGAATCGGGACGGGAAAACTGTGAAGTTATGCTGGCAAATAAGAACGTGCAAGATCTAATGAGACGAAAACCTAAATTCGATGTCGCTGTTGTTGAACAATTTAATAGTGATTGTGGTTTGGGGCTAGCCCACGTTCTAGGTGCGCCTGTAGTGGGACTAACATCGCATATATTAATGCCTTGGACGTATAACAGATTCGGAATACCATATCATCCGGCGTACGTCTCCTTCCATTTTCTGGAGGGAGGAACGAAGCCGACGCTGTATCAAAGAATTGAAAGAGTGTTATTCGATTACTACTTCAAGACTAGGTATTATATGGCTCAGAAGCGTGACCAGCAGTCTCTGGCTAAGTATTTTGACGATATCCCGCCTTTGGAAGATCTCGCGAAAGAGATTAAACTTTTACTTCTCTATCAGAACTTTGTTCTTACTGGCTCGCAATTATTCCCAGCTAATGTGATTGAAATTGGCGGTTACCATGTTTCTGAAGCGAAGCCTTTAACTGGCGTAAGTTAATCATCTTAAAGGTTACTCTCTAATAAATATTTTTGTAACCTACACGTTACAACAATGATAAATTAATATTTAAGTATTGAATTTGGTTTGCATTATGTTTATTTAATGGTAGGTGAACCTCAGCTATATAAAATCTAAACAAGATGCATTATCGACCTATTTTAGCTTTAAGTATCTAAGTACACGTACATAAGTATCTAAATAGAGAACAAAAATAACCAATCTTTGCAGGAACTTCTAGAATTCGTGGAAGAGGCGGAACATGGAGTCATATATATTAGCTTCGGATCAGTTATAAAGAGTTCAACAATGCCAGAGGATAAATTGCAAGCACTTCTGGGCGCTATATCTGAACTGCCACAGCGATTCATTTGGAAATGGGAAAGCAAAACGATGTTGCTAGACAAGAATAAGCTTTATCTGGCTGATTGGTTGCCTCAAGTGGATATTTTAGGTAAGAAATAATGATAACTGCATTTGTGTTAATGATGTATGTATGCACGCACGCACGTGCATTCGCTGATAGGGATATCAGTAGCGTTTTTTATTTTCACATCTGTATAGATATCTGTTGCATGGCACTAATTAATTAGTAGTAAGATATTTAATTTATTCAAATAACTGACTGTTGCAAAGCATCCATAACGTCAGGTATAAAAAATAACTTTTAAACAAGTTTAACTAATTTATATCGCGTTTTAAACCGTTAAAGTGTCTTATTTAAATGTTTACTACTCATGTAAACTACAGTATTTGACTTTTATATTTCATGTAAAACAAAGCTGCTTGGAAAGGGTATTTATGACGTTAGTCAATATTGAAATTATAAAAGTACTAGGGGGGGGGGGACTAACCCGCTCTAACAAGAAAAAATATGTGCACATAAGAAATATATATGTGTAAAGTACGTGACTACTGTAAAATGACACTTGGCGATAAAAGGAGTGGCGACGGGTTTCTTGCTAATTCTTCCCATTCGTTCTACGCTTGAGAATTAGATGTGAATGTAAATTTAGTCTTTTTTACTTAAGTAACGATAATAATGTGCCTAGTTTCCTACATGAATGAATGATTATTAACTTTGACATCAATACGATTCAAGTTAAACACGAAGCCCCAATTGACTACTTTACTGTTTTTAACTAATTCAATTACAATATGTTACTCACAAAACCAAGTTTTCAGGACACCCAAAAACATTGGCATTCTTATCTCATGGTGGGATGGGTGGTACAACAGAAGCCATACACTTTGGTGTACCAGTGGTAGCCGTGCCCGTCTTCGGAGATCAGCCCTCAAACGCTGCGGCGATCGAGGAGAGTGGTCTCGGCGTACAGTTACAAATCTATGAGTTGACCAAAGACAAAATTGTCGGCGCATTTAAAAAGGTTCTAGATCCTGGGTACGTATGTAGTTACTCTTTGGAAATAGAAAAATCGATTATAAATTCGAAGAAAAAGCATCGAGAGGTGCATGTATCCGTAGCTTGAAAAAATTCGACGATGACGTGTAGGACAAGATAGATCTATTCGTTAGAGCAACAGCACGAAACGTTGTGGATGCTGGTACAAGTCTTGTCCGTGTCTAATTTTTTTGTTAATTATTATTTGTACTATTTCAGATTCAGAGCGAACGTGAAGGAAGTGTCCAAAGCGTGGAGCGATCGTCCAATGAAACCTCTGGATACAGCTGTGTACTGGACGGAATATGTAGCTCGTCATCCAAACATCACTTACAAACCTGCTGCAGTCAATACGCCCCTGTACCAGTATATATATCTCGATATCGTCATCGTTTTTGCATCTACACTACTTGTATTGTTCCTCTTTACCAAAACGTGCCTTACACTAGCGTGCAAAAAGTCTAAAGTCGTTAAACAAAAGAATAAGAAGGATAAAGCGAAGTCAAAACGCAGTTAAATATAAGAGGACAAATTGATATAATTACAATACTCAATAATCGATCTTAAAGATAAAATTATTACCTTGCACAAATAATTCAAATGAAATCAACAGTTAAAAACAAGAAACTCTATCTCATGCATAAAATGCTCTTTTTAGAATGTTTGTTTGTAAAGTCCTCCAAAACTTCGAAAAGGCTGATCTCTTTAATGAAATTTGGTATATACATAAATTACACTTGAGAATGGGGTTTTATTCGTTTTTGTATGTTTCACTAATGTATCCTGGCATACTCTCAATAATTTAGTTTCTTTTTTGAAAATAATTTCTCTGGCATACCAACGTTTGCCGGATCATCTAGATTTACACTAAATTCACACCCACTACCAGTTTTCATACAAGGGCGAGAAACAGAATAGATGAGTAAGATTATATGTATGTATGTGTGTGTGTATAGAATTCACTACACAAATGGATGTCACTTTGAAAATATTACTTAGATAATGCATGGTTTGTGACCGTTATTTTTTCCGTGACTGATGAAATTATGAGATAGATGGGTCATTATTTTCGACGCCCTGTAATTTACTATACACATCATATAAGATTTAAATAACTACAAGATATGCCTAAGTACATACATTCAATACTTTTAGGATTAGAATATGTGGAGTAAAGAATTTCAAATCACGTATCTAATATTTGTACGTATGCACGCGGTCTATTTTATATAATTATTAAGAGAGATTCGGGCATTAGTATTTCTAGCCTTTTATGTAGGAAAGGAGTAAAAAAAAAATATCTTATGAGATATAAAAAAATGTCATATTAGGTAAATGATGTAATTGTGATTTAACATGGAACTTAGGTACTAACATTAATTTAAAAATAAACGAGTAAAATGTGATATTTCTTTACGCTTATCAATAAAACTAGTAAGAATGAGTACCTACTTAATTTAAATAGATTATACCTTTTAAAGCTAAAGCTATAAGCTGTTAAAAACAGTGTAAAAAAGTCAGACTTGAAATAATATTACAAACTTCTTGCTTCTGTTTTGAATTATTTCAGAAAAGAGGTTTGGTACCTTAAATATTTAACCTCAAAGAATAAAATCGTTCACGAAAGAAGCATAAATTACTGACAACCAAGACGTACTCTTGCGTTTCTTGTCCATTTTCACATTTGTCATGTTATTCAAAAGTTTGTAACAGGGCGTATAACAATTACAATGGAAAAATATTTATCTTTCGAAAATATCTAGACGGACAATATGACAAAGGTGAAAATGAGCTGCTTACCATAATAAATAAATGTAAGTAAAATTTCATTCAATTTTATATATATTTCATCTCTATAGGAATCATTCAAATTAGCTCTATTCGCCTTAAAAACGATATTCCATTTCGTTATCAGATTCCACAAAATCACTGAAATGGCGTGCTGCTGTAAACCTGGACGATGTAAGTTATCATTTATTTAATTTTAGTCTTCTAGCCAAATGTCTAAGGTTATATTTTGTACAGCAAATAAGTCATCTGTCAGCTGTTTGGGAAGATGTGATTTACCAAAACACCGCTGCTTGGAGAAAGATGACATAAAGCCTGGTCCAGTCCCGAAACATATGGGATGGCTGTACACCGCCAAAGACGCACCAGAACATCAGGTAAATTCAGGCAGATCAGTTAAGCAGACAATCCCCTAATAATGTTGAGGGCCTCGTAGGTTTTTATGGTAGAGGAAGACTGAAGCATGAGATTTACTTGATGAAAGGTGAAATACTCCAACCATATGAGGTGAAATAATCCACAGATTGAAACCGAAATTCGTTTAACTTGAGGACTTTTTCATCTGTGGATGGTGGTTCATGATCCGTATGGAATTTCGATATTGCTACCACCAATTAAACATACATATACATATACGTGCTAATTTAACTTCTTCTGTATTATGAATCTAATTTTGACATACCTATGCAAAAATATCGACTCGGACAGGACTTGAACCGGCATCGTCAGCGTACTGTGCTGTTGCTCTAACCAATTGAGCTACCGAGTCCTACACCTCTTTATCGACTTCTTTTACACTTGATTACCCAACTCACCCCCATTAAATTGCAGTTGCGTTGCGGCTGGCGACCAGGCCACATCTCTTGCCCAGTATTAAAACGTATCGAGCAGCACAATTGTATGAAAGCGAGTGACTGCCCTTCTTCAACATGCTCCCGACCTTGTAGCAAGCCTTGCTGCACGCCACCAAAATGTCTAGCAGTATGCCCTTCAGCTATGCCTTGTTGCAAACAACCTCCCTGCACTCAACCCCTTATTCGGATCATTCGACATGGTGGACAATATACTATATGTACAAAGCCATCAAACATAAGCAATGCACCATCTGGGCCTTACCCACTTAAATATGTCCTTAACACAGATGGAACGGACACGTCAAATACAAATGTGAAGTATAGTGTTGAAGCAAAGTTCAATGACTATCATTTCGACTACACTAGCTCACAAACTTCTTTTGTGTTGGATTTTTCACCCCCGGAGCAAAAGTGTTACAAGCCATGCCCCAAGAAAAGCTTAATATGCTTACCATGTTAATGAAAGCTAACTTAGCAACTTTACACCATTAAAAATAAAAATAACTAAGAAAAAATTCCGCAGATTTTCATTTAAAATTGTACCTATATACAATGATGAATGTTTGTAAGTATTGTAATAACACTAAAACTGCAATATTGGTTATAATTTCTTTGGAGTATATGTTGTCTGTGGTCAAAGGATTATCTTAAATTTCATAAAGAGATATTCTAATCAAAATACCTAATCAGGTTAGGTTAGAAAGTAATAATTCATATAGTAATTAAACAAAAGTATTCAACAATTCTTTATTAATATTGAACTCAAATAACCTAATAATAAATAATCTAAAGGAACAACAATAACTTAACTAGGATTCCCTGACTTCTGAGCTAATGCCATCATATTCTCATTGGCGATCATTTGGAATTCATGGAACCTCTGTGACACTCTTTGGTTTGTTCTCAGATACTTATCCATGCAGTTAAGTATGCATTTTTCCTGAAAGTGAGTAAAATAAATCCTATTAGAATTAAGTGACTGTGAAGCTTATTCCTTCCTTTAATGACAACATAATACAAAACAAACAAATAAATTGTGTATATTATATAAGATTTTAACTTAAAAGCCAGCAGCTTATTGCATATCACAAGAAAATATGTTACAGTTAACCAATTAAACAAACAGATTAACAGATCAGTTTTATTATTATGTTTGTTATATTTATTAACAATGAGAATAAATAAAATAAGAATTTTACCTCTGTTGAACGTAAAGTTCGAGACGTAAAGTCGTGCACGCAATCGTTGAAACACAATTCAGATAGCTTATTGTATTGGACCAGGAAATCTTTGAACTGTAAAAAAATAAAACAATATGTTAAAATTACTTAAGAGAACAAAAATTGTAATTCTTTTTATTTTATGATTACCGTTTTTATTTGATCAGCTTCACTCATTTCCATCGCCGCTGCCATTGTTAATATATATTACTGGTCAATAATATGAAATTCTGATAATTAGATAATATTTTCAAGTATTAATCCTGCATTTAATTCATGAAATATAAAATAAGAACTCGATTTTTAAATCCAATGTTTTGATTTTCGAGGTTAGAAAATAGAATAACGAAAGTGTAGCGATCTTCTTCTTCTTAATTTGACAGCTTTCCAATGGATTGTAAATGGAAGTGTAGCGATCATTTGATCATATATAGTCAACTGCCAATGTCAACTTCTTTAATATTATATGGTAAGTATTATAGTCTGTAAACTTTTGTCTCTGTGATACTGACAAGTTACAGTATCTGTGATTTATTGCAATGCTTGGAAATATTATTGTAAATTGTTTTTTCTTATTTTGAGAAATATCCTTATTTTTAAGTATGACTGAGAATGAAGATGAGGTTACAACGTTTTGTGACTCAACGGTATGGGTTCAGCTTTTTCTTGTTTTACTTTATGATTTTCAGTTTTCGATGTATACAATATCCAAACATTCCAGGCATCATTGGTGGAAGGATGCCGTCTCCCAGTTCGAATGCAGGGCGGAGATGACTGGCCACTAGCTGAAATTATTAGTATGAAAGAAGTCAATGGAATGAGAGGATACTATGTCCACTATGTTGACTGTAAGTGAATATGTGTTCTTGTTAATAGGTAGTTTGGGCGAGTAGCATAAGTTAAACATTTTTTCTGTTATCCTTAACTCAAGTAGTTTAGTTGACATACCCTAAAAATTATTGTTACTTCCTAATTGTCTTTGTTAATGTGTAGGGTGAGTAAATTTGATGATTTCCAATGTAATTTCAGTCAACAAAAGATTAGATGAGTGGGTCGAAGAATCATGGCTAGATACAAGGAAAGTGCAATTTCCCAGACGAGATGGAGCACCAACAGGCGGTACAACAACACCTAAGAAGACACATATTGGATCAGGAGGTGGCATTATGCCTAGTTTTCTTAGTATGTGTGTTTTTGCTATTAGACATTTATTATCAAACTAATTTTCCTTTTACAAAGCCACCAAACTTTTAACACTTTATAAGTAATAAAGATGGTTGAAACAGAGAAGATGTACAGGCAATACTGTAGATGTAACATAAACGACGGCTACTCAGCAGCACCAGAAATTGCCTGTTGTCGTGTCATATATTTTTTTAAATCCTTACTGTTAAGTATTGTGTGAACATTTAATATCCAAGTAAGACTTGAGCTGTTAATTTAAATGTTTTATTTCTATTCTGTCTATAGTTTACGCGAGTAGTACACATTTAAATAAAACACTTTAACAGTTTAAAACGCGATATATTTGTTAAACTTATTTGAAAATGATTTTTAACTAAGTTTAACAAATATATCGCGTTTTAAACCGTTAAAGTGTTTTATTTAAATGTTTTATTTCTTACAAATGGTTTAAGTTCTAACTAATTAATTTTCTTACTATACTTTGTTAGTGTAACAAAACTTAACTATAAACTGAAATGATATATTGTTTACTATTGGATATTATGGGCATGTATATTAGTGAAGCATTTCTTTTTACTATGTTGAAGCATCTAAAAAAACGTTTTTTACCTTTCGTGTTTGTTACATTTTAATTTAGCTTTGTCTATGTATAAATTGTCTCAATAGGAGTAATTGCTCATAGATGCCTTTACTTGCATGCTTTGACTAAACCTAATTTATCTTTTTCCATCTCTCACAGCTTTGCTTGAAGTAGAATAAAATGAGCTGATTTACTGCTTCCAATAAAAGCATATAATTTATAACACCAATCAATTATTTTGTCTGCAGATGATAATGTCTGCACCGAACCCCCGAAGTCACAACCCACTAGAGAATTGCACCAAATTCCACCAAAAATACCAGAAAAAAGTCATACTAATCATGCACTCAATGGTTCATCACAAAAATTTACTTCTGGTATGTTAAATGTACATTTTGATATATTTTACGTTTTGCCTTTGAATTGTATTACAATCTAACGTATTTATTTCTGGTATCCAACTAATATTGCTATGGACATTTTGATAAGAATATAGTTTGTACTACTTGATTGATGTTACAACTAAGGACCAATATTGCATACTGACTACTGCTTTTTTCTGCCCTGTACTTTTCTCACTTCTATTTTTTATAGCAAGTGTAGTTTTGTGTTTATAGAAATTAGAGGATTTACACTGATTACTTAACTTAGTCTTATGCTATCATATTTATTAGTCTTTTTTTTTAAATTAGAATATAGGAAACAAATACAAACCATATAGTAAACAACACATAAGAAAAACTAAGTAAAAGAATGTACACAGGTCTTAGCTAGTCATTTATATTCATGTTATTTATGTTTTCTTTCAGTCAATATAGCAAAAAAAAATGAGAGAATACTTTGTTATTCCTAATATTAATACGAAATTTGTCAACTAAGTGTTTTCATTCAGACAGTAATACTTAGTTTATTTTACAAGGTACAATTTGTGAACCGCGCCAGCTCGTGTCAAGACCAGCGAGCCCAACTCTTGGGCATGATTCGTCAACGCTGGTCAACGGTGGAGCGGTCCTGGCGGCTGCTTTACAGAAGAAAATGAACAGAAAACGGAAAGCTGTCTCCGTTGATAACGACGTCAGTGTTACTGTGAGTATTTGAGAAATTATACATTTATAAATAGTTACTGTGTTTAATTGTATATACAACAATGTTAAGTAGAATTTTTTTCGGGAAAATATAACAGTCTTATGCCCCGATGTAGTAGTCGAGTAGTACACATTTGAATAAAACGTTTTTAATGGTTTAAAACGGCAAATTTATTTTATGCTGCAAAGCTCCCAAAACGTCCGGCCGTAGTTATAATAATTTATTTAACTAATACATTTCAAGTTTAAACCATTAAAAGTGTATTCAAAATACTAATTCTACAATTTATTGATGACAACTGAGATTCGAACCTGACAGGCAATACATACTGTTTCTATGCCAGTTGTATCAGATGTCGTCTTCTGTATGTGTGAAAATTATAAATTATTGGGTAAGCTTTAGTTTGATGTATATTTCTGTTTCAGGCAGAAGCAAATGATTCCCTAGATGGTGGTGAGCCCATAGTAAGTGGGACAGCGACTCCCACAGCACGGCCGCGACAGTCAGGCAGCATGGTCGCCCATGGGCATGACGACGTGGTCACGCGCATGAAGAACATAGAAATGATTGAGTTGGGCAGACATAGAATACGGCCGTGGTACTTCGCACCATATCCACAGGTGAAATGCTGGATTTTTTACATGGGCTTTGTCTGTCCTACTGGACCGAGACAATTTTTATATCATTTACTTAAAGCATAATTATGAATGTCGATTATATTTTGTTAAGTATAGTTGTTTATTCCTCTATTTTTTTTTGTTTCAGGAAATGGTCAACTTACCTTGTATCTATATTTGTGAATTCTGTTTGAAATATAGGAAGAGTAAAAAGTGTTTGGAACGACACCTTGTGAGTATATTTGAAACTAACTGCAATAGTATAACTTCAATCAATTTATAATTTTGTAGTATTTTTTCTAATATCAATAGTTGATATACTAAATAAATGTATGATTTAAATAAAACACATTAACGGTTTAAAAAGCGATATAGTCTCCCCGTGACCACGGCTGCTGCAAAGCGTCCGAAACGTCGGGCCGTAGTTAAAAATCCTTTTCAAATAAGTTTAACTAATATATCGCGTTTTAAACCGTTAAAGTGTTTTATTTTAATGTGTACTACTCGGGTAAATACAGACTATTAAAATGTACACATTGTAACTATAGACAGTATTTAAATTATAGCTTTTTAATCCTTTGCTGTAGTTTACGCGAGTAGTACACACTTCATTAAAGAACGGTTTAAAACGCGAAATATATTATAAACTTATTTCGTAGTTATTTCAACTACTGCCACGAACTCGTTTTTCTTACTTTAAACCACTAAAGTGTTTTATTTAAATAGTCGCTTCTTTTCTTCACAGATCAAGTGCAAGCTAAAATATCCGCCTGGAAATGAAATATACAGACGAGGCAGTATATCATTTTTCGAAATTGACGGTAGAAAGAACAAAACGTATGCGCAGAACCTTTGCCTATTGGCTAAACTGTTTCTCGATCACAAGACTTTGTATTATGACACGGATCCGTTTCTATTTTACGTCATGACAGATTTCGATTCAAGAGGTTTGTATTTACTGGTGATCTAGCTTATCATTTGCAAGACTTGATCTACATTCGTTGCTATGGTAACTAAATTCCGTTCGAGAAAGCCACGTCCACAGATGAATGGTTAAATACTGTCTATAGTTTACATATTTAAATAAGACACTTAACGGTTTAAAACGCGATGTATTAGTTAAACTTGAAAATTATTTTTAACTTCGCCTCGACGTTTCTCTCCGTGACCACGGCTGCTGCAAAGCATCGGTAACGTCGGGCCGAAGTTAAAAATCCTTTTCAAATAAGTTTAACTAATACATCGCGTTTTAAACCGTTAAAGTGTTTTATTTAAATCACATTTCGGTTTCCATCTGTGGATTTCCGAATATCCAAAGTCGAAATATGTCTACAGCGGTTACTTGTTTAGATGTTATATCGTTGGAGTATTGCACCTACCATCAAGTGACTCCAAGCCTGTCTGTCCCCTATCATGAAAAAACAATCTGTCCACTAAGTAAGTTAATACCAAATTTCTCGTTCCAGGTTTCCATATAGTCGGATATTTTTCAAAGGAAAAGGAAAGTACAGAAGATTACAACGTTGCGTGTATATTAACACTACCCCCGTACCAGAGGAAGGGTTACGGAACGTTACTTATTGAATTTAGTGAGTGAATCTTCGCTATTTATGCGCCTGCGGTCCTAGATTCTAATTCTGAAAAACTGAATAGTTTCGGACAGGTAGGACATGTGATCAGCTACTTGACTGTCAATAAAAAAATTAAAGGCAGTTACAGAAATGTGTCTCCTATATGTCTGAGCAACGGAACAAAGAGTTGGGAGTGAATTCCAAATAAGGTTGAATCAAATAAAATCAAAGAAGAATTTTCGGTCTTCTTTAGGCAGTGCCAAAGCCAAGGACCCTTCTCTTGTCTGGTGATGCTTGTCACTCGGTTACTCGTGAATACCATCTCCCATCAGACGACAGCCTTTTCAGTTTTCAAGCAAAACGTATTTTATAAGATCTTTTTTGATTTCTTGAAGTTTCCGAGATAGAGTTGGGGTTTAGTACACATGCACTTCCACGGCCCTTACTCGAGTTGAAAGAATTACTTTGATAATATAGACACTTTTGAATAACCTGTATAAATAAATATTACAGGTTACGAATTGTCAAAGTTCGAAGGGAAAACTGGTTCCCCCGAGAAGCCATTGTCTGATCTCGGTCTGCTCTCGTACAGAAGTTATTGGGCGCAGACCATCCTTGATATACTTATAAGTATCAAACCAGTGGGGGACAATGAAAAACCCCTTATCACTATCAAGTAGGTATTTAAGGGAACCAGAATAAGCAATTACTAAAACTACTTATAGTGCATTTTTTCTAACTTGACTTTTTTGGTAAACAACACACACTATTTACACGAAATCGTGATTCCTCACACTTAAAACTCTTTTAACACACTGGATTATAAATTAAACTAATGTAACGAAATTAATAAAAATCCTAATAATTAATTTACATAATTGGCCTGATTGAAATTTCTATAGTTTGCCATTTATATAGAGTTGAGATGTAATCGTAAATCGACGACAATAGAAAGTAGAAGTCCATGCGCTGAAAAGCGTTACAAACGTCGAGTTAAATAATAATGACATAAAAAATATTTTAAAAAAGTTGGCCATTAAAGTGCTTTTTAATATTGAGGTTGTTTAGTCCATGCATAATCGATATCTCTCTATCCCTTTGTCATCTGTGGAATCAACATCACTAAAAGATCACCAGTTCTCTATGGTTTGAAATTTGCCATATTTGTTGTGGTCTTTTCTTATTTTGGAAACAATACACGAAACAGAAAACTACTATTCCTATTTCGCGTTTTAATCCGTTAAATGTGTTACGATGTCTTTTTATGTAACAAATATTTAACACCACTCACTAAATATATTTTTGTATTTCCAGCGAAATATGCGAGCTCACTAGTATCAAAAAAGAGGACGTTATAAGTACTCTGCAGAATTTGAACCTTATCAACTATTATAAGGGGCAGTATATTATATCAGTAAATCAGGTATTTTTATTAATATGAACCCTTCATAATATTTAATATTAACATATCATTGTTCTTCGGGCTGTTCGGCCGACGTGAGCGAGAAGAGGTACTCGACGTTTCGCCATCACGAGCTGACGGCATCATCAGGAGATGTTAACTCCTCGATTGCTCGAAGAATGTATGTAATGGTGAGACCTACACTACTCTACCACACACCGCTCCAATCGTATATAATCTGTGGCCGCTGTGGACAGCGCATAATTCTTCGAGCAATCGAGGATTCAACATCTGATGATGCCGTCAGCTCGTAATGGCGAAACGTCGAGAACCTCTTCTCGCTCACGTCGGCCGAACAGCCCGAAAGATATGCTGAACGATGGCCGCGAAAGCCTTACACAATTTATTAATTAATATTAACTTTCTAAGTTCAGATGATGATAGTGAAAAGACATTATTTCAGGATACAATACAACAACACCAGAAAGCGATGGAAAAGAAACTATTACGGATAGATCCAAAATGTTTGCATTGGACTCCGAAAGACTGGTCGAAGCGTGCTAAATGGTATCATGTTTCTCTTTATTACATTTCTTATTTCAAAGTTTTTTAAACTATAAATCCGTTGATTTAGACTTTATGTGAAATTTAACTTTTATTTAAAAGCTTATATACAGTACATATTAACGTATAAATGTTCATTTTCATTTTTTATAAATTGGTATTACTTTAACAATTCAAATAATATAAATCCGTTTATTCAGGTTATATTGTGAGATTTAACTTTTTTAAAAGCTTACTGCAATATTAACGTCAACAATTTTTTTTTCTGTTATTACTTAGATTTTTTTATTGTTACAGTTTTCATTTTGTTTTTAACTATAAATCCGTCGATGTAGGTTATGTTGTAAAGTTTAACTTTCGTAAAGCTTATTTGCATTATTAACGTATAATTATTTTTTTTATAAACGGTATAATTTATTTTTCTTTTGTTACCAGTGTTTGAAGTTATCGAGAGCTACTTAGTCGGCCTTCATACACGTATGATTCATTTTGTATCTAACATTACCTGTACAATACTAATCGCACAGCTTACACTAATTCAATGGATGAATGGATAAATGTCATTACATACATCATCATTCATATTTTTATCTCATGAACCGCTATTAACATTTTCTTTTGGCTTGATGTCATTTTATTATTATCATTATATACATCATTACTTTAATTTACATTCTGTCACGCTCATATCATTAACATTAACAAAATGACACATTAACTGACTTATTAACACCTATTTTGGGAATTATAGGGGGTGGTGGTGGGGGGTGTTGGCACGCCTGAAACCTACACAGTCAGTTTGCTTAACGTTTTTGGAACGGCTTCTGCGGACTGCCAATCCCCCCCCTTTAGCGATGGCATCTACGGCCAATTTACACATTTGCATTAATCACTTTTCACCTTCATAATAATTTTTAAGATACAGTGAAACCAGCTTAAAACTATCCGGGGGTGATCAACGGGATAGGTGATATAAAACATATTATTGTTATGTTAATTCATTCATATTTGACTAGTATGCGGTATCTGAAAACAGTCTCAAGTTATTCTGTCAAAAAGCGTATTAAGCTGGTTCGACTGTTTTATGCGATTTAAGGTGTAATAGTTGTTTAAAATTATTTTTTATTTCCAGGTGAAACACAGATGGTCCATGAAAAACGTCCATCGAAGATACAATTAATGTATTACACCTTATTGTGATAAAAAATAAATGTTATTTCGTTTTAAAGGCGGAGTTCTTTATGCCACATGACAGATCAAAACATAAGATCGAATCGTTAAAAATAGCTAATTTTTTCGGTTGGTTAGTCCACAGAGGACTGATTATGAACTATACTGACATAGGAATACTTCCTGATAAATAAGGCAGAAAATCTGCTGTTTCACTTTTTAAGAAGTTAAATAAAATCTGAAGGTAAAATCGAAACGAGTTAATATAATGTTTTCTCTTTTCCACAATACCCTATAAGGAACAAAGACAGAAAATGTTGTGACGTTTCAAACAATTAACTTATTTTGGTGAATCAACTGTAGTATAAATGCTATGCTATGGGGCGTTTAAGTCCCCGTTTTACTTCGATTCTGGTTATAAAAGAAACACAAAAATGCAATATATGATTTAATTATTCAGTAAATAAGCACAGTAATTTTGCTTCGATTGTCAAAATATTTATTTAAGAAGCAGGTACAGGTGATGTAACACTTACAAAGTCTAAAAATAAAATTTATAGAAACATCTATGATACAACACGTTAATAGGGCGTTAGAAAAATATTACAAATTTGCACTTGAGGTTTCTCCTTTAAAACATTCTGATTTCGTTTCTAGTGTTAACGGAAACATCTTTGTGACTTCATATACTTAGAGATATACGAAAAGCTTAAAACAATATACGCTTTTTAGTTGATTTTAAAGGCACGAATCTTGCTCTGCGAACTTCATGCCTCAGCCAGAGGCCAACAATTTGCCATTGCTTTGAAACCATTTTTATATCATTAATAAATTGATCTTTAAAAAACTTTTGTGTTCGTGTTCCCTTATATACAATTTCTTACTTTACAATAACACAAAGAACGTAGAAAACGTAGATATAAAATCTTACAAGATGCGATTAGAATTTCAATAACTGCAAGACGCTAGACGAAACTATAAAAAGGGAGACTAAAATTAAGAAAAAAAAAATTGGCATATATCAAAGAACCTTAAATTCCCATAACCTTCGCAAGACAATCTTTTGAAGCGCAAGATTGCTCGAGGTTACGCCTTAAGAGTGATCGCATGTTAGTACGCATTCGCCTAAAAAGTTGCGGCGCGTACGATGCTGACAAATCTACGATCACCTTTACATATTAACATACACAATTACATACAAGTATTGATCCAATTGCAATAAAAATCAATTTAGATCGAAAAAATGTAAGACAGGACTTGAACTGGCATCGACAGCGTAACACAAAGTAAACATCCAAAGAACACAGACATTTTTAAAGTTTTCAAACGTAAAACTGTAATTTCATCTTCCATGATTTTTCTTAAGCTGCAAAGCATAAGACATTGACGACGATGGCGTGTAGGGCACAGTAGCTCAGTTGGTTAGAGCAGCAAGTCTCGCCCGTGTCGTAAGTTTTTTCTAATCTAAGATCGATTTTTAATTTATAAAATACCGTCGTATGCATGAAAAATATAAAAGTTAAAAAATAAATAAAAATCATTTATGAATGGATAACAAATACAAAAATTGAATAAGCCATACAACCGTAAAAGAGCCAAAATGAAAGCGAAGTTATAAGAACTATTTTAGATTTGTGCCGATCGATTACGACTATATCACAAATCTATAAAAATAAATGCTCGCGCGACTGACTGCTGCTATGTAACGTTCGGCAGTCGAAAGACTAGGTTCACTGGTACAAGGCACAATCTATACACGGCAGCCAACTTTTTCCTGTTTTGAAATAAAATTATGTAAAACATAGTCCTAGATATATTTTTTTTTGAAGATATAACATAGGGATTCCACGTAAAGATACAACCTTCTTATTGTTAGCAAAAGCTCTCTAGAAAGTTAAAACAGTTGGCTGCCTAATTATTTACACACTAGTACATAATAAATATATAAGCTTAAGATATACATGTTTCTCAAAATATATCAACGTTAAAACTTTACCTGATAAAACATTTCTTAATATGTAGATATCACCCAAGTAATATGTGGGATTAAGTAACGAACATTAAATTAGGCACTTAAGATTTAAGTAAGACACTTTGTGTCCAAGTAGCTGGAATAAGTATATAAGCTGAATTATATAAAATTTAGTGTAAGTATATAACATGTTATATTAATTCATTATATATCACGTCTTAATCTGAGTTAAAGCGTCTTAAACTAAGCGAATCTTAACATATATGGTAATATTGATAATCTGCGAATATAATTTCATTTAACATAAAATATACTTTTGGAATAATAACAGGAGGTATTCACTCGTATTGTTGTACTGGAAGTTATTATGTGATGTCGTGTATTTGGCGTCGAAAGTCGACTAGACTTAATGGCTATAGAATATTCTCGGACATTCATAATATCCAACAATCTGCGATTAGGTTAATCAGATCTTAAAACTTCAATAAATATTTTGTACAGATCAAAGCAAAATTATAGAGCTTAAACAACGAATGCGGTAATGTTAGATTTAAACAACTTAAAGAGAAATTAAAATATTATGTACGTGTATCTAACTAACGCGACTGTTAAACAGCTCTGTGTTATTTTACAACGGTGACTCTTCACAACACTTCGAAAACACAAATAAATAATATCTCAATTGATTTTGTGCTTCCCCACGAACGGTGCGATAGAATATGTTTCAATAGAAAAGGTCAGCTGACACGGGACTAATCTACATCGTTCTACACAGTAGACATACAATTCGTTTCGAAATTATTCCTTTGAACGAGAGACAACCAATAAAATAATGAATCACATAATTGGAAGCGATAATGAAGTCTGAACATTTCGAATTAACAAGATCTAAATACGTATACATGTCGAAAGTATTGGACCCGACGTGAATTTCAGCTAAACTAGGCACCCATCGTTCATGTTGTTATTGAGTTTGGACTGCGCCTCTTGCATGACTGGGTAGCTATGACACTGCTGTGCGGAGACGTAGCTGAGCTCGGAGTCATAGTACTCGTTTTCTGGCTCCATCGGTCCGAGGATGGTCGTGGCTTTGGGCAAGAAACCATCTGTGGTGATGTAATTCGCTTCAGAATTTGGTGGAAGACTAAGAACACTGTCGGGCCGGTTGTAGTCGATGTCTACAGATTGTGGCGTTATATAAGCGCCGTCCAGGGAAGATATGGTGTCGATAGATGAGTTTCCGTTGATCGGAGTCACGCAAGTGTAGCTAGATGCTAGAATGTTCGCGGATTCGGGTCGGAGGTAGGGCGAGTGTGTGTCGTAGTTGACGGGGAATGTGGTCGGCGATTCGAACGATCGCAACATGTTGTAGGAATTCGTTGGAGATGTCCTATTGGAGCCGTTCTTGACGCAGGACGCCGAGTGGAGTGACAGCATGTCCATCAGCTGTCGTTTCTGTACCTCCAAATCCTGAAAGACAATCGATTTTGAGTAAGATTTTATTCTATTTACATTAAAAGTAAAATTTAAGACACGGGCAGGTACGCACAGGCAAGCACAGAGTGCTGCTGCTTCAACCAATCGAGCTACCGTGTTCTAGCATTACGGAGCACTGTTGATTACAGTTTAGGTACATGCAGTGTCGTAATTTTTTTAAATCTAAATGGATTTAATTTATATAATGCCATCATGAACTCACTTGTGTACTCGCTGCCTTTATGTAGTCACTGCTAGTAATTATTGCCACTTGTACGAGTAAACCTTTTTAAATGGCATTTATTTTATTAAGCCGAATTACATGTTAAAGATTTGAGCGATATTCACCTTAAGTTGCGCCTTGAGGTCAATGTTCTGGTTTTCCAGCACTTCACTCTCGGTCACCAGGTTGACAGTTCGTTCACGCTTCTTCATTCTGCATTTCGTTGCTGCGATTTTATTCCTCTCTCTCCGTCGACGCCTGCGCTCCTCGTCTTCAGGTGTTAACTGTAATTTAAAAAAAAATTTGATACTATATAAATCTTGACTAATGTAATCTGTATTGAGATGTATTTGAATAGAACCATTCCCCAATCCCTTGTAAATGCCCGTTGGTATATATAATATAGCGAAGTCGTGCTTGTTGGTGTGATGGTAGCTTCTAATCAACGGGACGTGGTTTCTGTCCCCACCGGGTCCAACATTTCTATTACATTTATAATTTTTCTGAAACACATTGGACTTTGGTAATCTGGATATTAAATGAATGGATGGTAGGAATATCGAAATTTCATCCAGGCCACGAACTACTGTCCATAGATGATTTTGAGTTTAATCGCGTTTCGGTTTCAGTCCTATTGATTTCAAATAACCTAAGCCGAAATAGCTCGACCTGGTTTAAATGATATATGGCTGGGATATATTTTCACCTAGCATTAATTGAACTCCATGTTTGTTTGCCCTCCTCTACCATAATAAAGTTAGTTGCCAGTCCATCTGCTAATAAAAAAAAACCTACTTCTCTGGTAAAAGAGTCGTTAAATCATCGTATCGCTTGCGTCTGCGCATGTTGTCAACGCGTACGCAATCAGACTGTGCAAGGCGATTTTTAATTACATTCAGCAGCTGTTAAGCTGGGCTTAATATTCGCAACACTTCTTGTCGTGATGTCCCTATCCTTCGATCAGGAAGTTAAGTCACGACCACAGCGCATTTGCAATGCCAGCCTTCTTTGTAAACTCGTAAAACTTCAATAAAGCCGTTGAATTATAATGCACGACCGTCTTCGTAAAGGCTAGTTAAGGGCCGATTCGCAATCCGCCCTCAACCGTTCCTAGTCCTAGTAGTTCGTAGTCGTTGAGTTAATATAAGTTCAATGCTTTCAATTGAAATATATGAGCTACAGTTCATTAGAAGAGCTTAAATAATATTGCATTTAATGATTGGATAGCAAATCTATATTGATATTGTCTGTATCGTGAATTGGCTCCGAATGGTATACATTGGGTTAAGCGAGAGAGGTTCTAAATATGAATCCTAATACTACTGACTTGGAAGTAAAAGCTTTCTACATACACAAAGAAGTGTAAAAAGGGCTTTTTATTTATATAAGAATGGTCTACGGTCGCTTATCAAAATTTCGCATCCTGGAATATCTGAACTCCTGTTTTTGTTTCCCGTACACCACATGTTAGTTGTGGACAATTACAGAAATAGCACAGATTGAATTACCGATCTTGAACGTCTAAAACATCACTAGGTCAGCATGTGGAATATAATTTAAAATATCTAGTGATGTTTCATTTTAGGAAACATAAAATGTAAATACATTAGCCGTGTAAACTTCGCGCTAAAATTTCGATTTCATACATCACATGCGATTTATTACGGGGCCGCCCATATGCGAGGAAGTAATAAATTAGACGAAAAAATATGATTATTACCCTCGTGATGTTTTAATGGAAAATTATCAACAAACAAATTACGATCGCAACGAGGCGACGCTAATATCGCGCCATCTACAGTTATAAAAGCGAACTCACACACATATTTTTCTCTACAGTTTGTCATATAATACAACACATTTTTACGGGTAGAAAATACAAACAATATTAGGTAATAGTCACGGGGACTGAGGGGAGGGGAGGGGTGTTGCTGTCATTAAAATTCGGGTCATAGTTAATTCATAAACTAATACAGTCCGCGTTAACAAACGTGAACCGGCATCAACAGAGCAACACGCTGTGGATGCCGACTCAAGTCCTGCCCGTCTAAAACCGATTTTTAATTTATATAGTACCATCATATGCAATAACACGTGAAACATATTAAAATTATCATACATAGCTACTATTCTTATTATAAAATGTATTTCCATAACATACCTCGCTCTTACACATCTGTGTATTACTGCTGTCGTAGTCATCGTCGCTTTCTTCCCGCTTCATCTTCTTGATGCCACCGTCTGTGTCGCTTCCAGACATCTTGCGTTTAGACTCGATAGATAATTTCAGCCCAGCCTTGATCAATTCCGAACACGTCTGGAATAAAGCAGCTTGATATTATCTATCGTAAACTTTGGATTTATTGTTTTGTTGTTGTGCAAATAATTCTGACCGCACAAGCGTTTTCAATAAGGTCACAGCTTTTTACGTGAAACGGAATTTTCGTTATTGTTTGCACCTATTCCTCTATTTATTTTTTAACTTTTTTGAAGAGGAGAACAGACAAGTTTGAGGTTCAATTGATATAAGAACACAACCACATAACACCTTACCAAGGTGCGTTGTCGATCTACTTTTGAACTGGACTTTCGGAAATCCACAGATTAAAACTTTGGACGGTAAATCGTAGACATAAACAGAATTGCGATATCCCTACCGCCATTAATATTATCAGATTTATCGTATTTAATGTTACAGAAAAATCGAAAAATTTATTTTTGGAACGTGTTGGATGTTTAAACACAAAATTGAAGTTCTTAACAAATAGTAATAAGAATATTAATATACTTTTTTCTTTGCTTTTTCTTCATCGATATAGAGGTTTACTGTATTTTTTTTATAATAGTGAATTAGTTTACAGACGGTTAACAAATATCAAATCGCGATATTTATTTATTCAAGGCATGATTCGAGTTCGAAATTAATCTGTAATTTGAATAACATATAAAAGATCAATCAATATCTATTTAAAGTAATATTAAAATGGACTTAAGTAAACATCGTGACTACTTTTTTACTATCAATTCAAGTTTCACCTTGATTGCAGAAGGTTATTCGGATGTGTAAACACATTTTGTTTCACACAATGTAATTTTAATAATGCAGTTTTAAAATATATTTGATTTGAAATATTATGATATTAAATAAAGTGATTATTAAATACCGTCAATAGTTTACGCGAGTAGTCTCCTCGTGACCACGGCTGCTGCAAAGCATCCGAAACGTCGGGTCGAAGTTAAAAATGATTTAGTGTAACTAATATATCGCGTTTTAAACCGTTAAAGTTTTTTATTTAAACGCAATTATTTTTTTAAATACGACATCTACTAAAAATGCTAATCTCCGACAACACCACTATTGTCCATTTTTTTGATGTTACCTTCACTGTTAATAAATTTAATTATTTTCTTTTACTGTAGTGGTTTTTTTAATTTTCAGCTTTAAACCGAAATTTTGCGTAAATAACATCGCATTTTAAACCGCTAAAACACGCTTTTTTGACGGTTACATCCGACAATGTATCGCAAAGATACCCCAATAAAAGGTATGAAGACTAAAATAAGTATGTATTAAGACTAAAATAAAATGCAATCTTATATCATTATTGGTATAAACAAAGTTAAAAACAAAACTCTAATAAAATTTCACATTTCGTGAATGTTTACGAATCAGATCGGCGTATATATTATGTGCTAATCTTCACATATTTGATAAGAAACCCCTTTTAAATTGATGTTCGACGAAGGACACTTTTTACACAAGCTCTGATTATACTAGGTATTAACGTATGCAATCTCAATTAAACTATTGAATATGTAAGGTGTGTAATTTTTCTCACATTATTACATCCGCTTATTGTGTGAGGTTAAAAAAACTATATAATTATTATCTTTTCTAGAGGTTAAACGGCTGAGAAGCAATTTTCATAATTCATTGATTTTATTTTTTCTATGTTTGAATACTGTTGTTTTTGTGGTTTAGTTAAATCCGTTTCTTACGTACATTAATTCTAATATATAATTTGGACAGAGGTTTAAAAGGACCTACCATCTTGCACTAGTGCTCTTGAGTACGTACGAGTTGATAAACACCTTTTTCGAAACTCGCTGGTACAAGATTCACTTTTTAGAGATAAATTTCGTAGTAAAGTATACTAACCACTAAGTCAACAAGACAGTCTATTCAATTTGCAGTGAAGTATAATTAACCAAGTTACTATCGTTATACGCAATTGTTTTTGCTTGTGATAAGAATAATTTCCCTGCTCTTATCTAGAATGGTGGAGTGGGGCGGAGCGAATATTTTAATATCGAAGAAAAGGCGTGTCGGCATGTTTTATCGAAATTGTGTAAATTGAGATAAGCGACGTCGCGGTGTGTGAACATTTCATATTTTGCCACTTAAAACTACTGTTGATGATTGAAATAATTTTCATTTTCTTGTTTATCTTTTTTTCTCCCTATCTCTATCTGCTATCATTATATTATGTTGCTCAAAAATAAGTTGGTCATAGTAGCAGTGTATGGCTAATAAAATCACCGGGATGTGGTTCGATCCCCACTATTTCCGACATGTTTTCTATCAATTAATATCTTCTCTGAAACGTGGACTTCGTCTGAAAAATCTGGATATTAAATGGGTTGTTGGAAAATCTAAATTCTGGGTCACAAAAGACAATGCCGCGTAGTTTAATTGTGTTTCAGATTCAATCTGAGGATTTCCGAATATGCAAAGAGAACGAAAGCGCATCTGGTTGAAATGTTATATTTCTGAGGTCATCTTCCATCAAATTACCCTTTAATTAATTAAGAAAACATATATGACGGCCTAAGTTTAAAGTTAATAGTTAAGTTTCTACTTCATAATAAATTCTTCTTACCTTTTGTATACTCGGCGGAGTAGCTGAGGCTGGTGAGGTAGCTGAAGAGCCATTGGACATGGAAGAATTGGAGTCGTTCCCGCACATATTCTGGAAATACGCGGGCATTGATATAAAAAATCTAATGGACAATATATGTTGCACAGTGTGAGATCCAATCATTTCTACGTCATGGTTGAACTAGCTACGAATAGCAGCACCTTACTTAAAGAACAAACTCTTCTGTATATATTGGTATAGATGGAGACAGAATATTTTAAATACAACTTATATAATGTTTTTAACCGTTTTGAAAAAGCCAGTATTATTGTATATAGTAAATACGTATATTAAAAAGTAGCAAGTATTTAAATAAAACACTTTAACGGTTTAAAACGCGATATATTAGGAGGGGGAGACTCCTCCCCGTGACCACGGCTGCAAAGCATCCGAAACGTCGGGCCGAAGTTAAAAATCGTTACCAAATAAGTTTAACTAATATATCGCCTTTTTAAACCGTTAAAGTGTTTTATTTAAATGTGTACTACTCGCGTAAACTATAGACAGTATTAAAGTAGCAAGTAGTTTATTAGATCTTGAAAATCGAATTTTTAGGTTTAAACACGAAAGATGACATGAAAAACAGTCACGAAGAAAAGTGTATATTTGTGGTGCCGCGTAAATTTGCACAGTACATGTTGAAGTTACAGGCGTCACTCATTAATAAAAGTAGCAATACCGCACGTCTATTATGCAAAATGTGTCACATCAGATACCAGAGTAATGAAGCTTTGTCTATTGTCATTTCACGCTCTAAATTGTACGTACGTACCTACTTTATAATCAACGTTTTTCATTCATAAACGCGATGTGTGATTTACATACATAATTTTAAACAGCGATAATACTAGATTTACACTTAGAGCTAGTTCATCTGTAGACGGTATCGCTATGGTCGGAAATTCCAGATTAATATATTTCAGTAAAATTAAAATTTGATTTTGAGAAATATGTCCTAGAGGTAATAGAGTCTATGATCTATTGATTATAAGCCATTCGTTGCTACGATGGGCCAACAAGCCCGTCAATCACACTAATCAAAACTGCATAATATCGAATCGCATATATGTTTTGTATTAAAATTGTTGACTCAGCTTCAACGTTGAATGGACAAGAAACCACGTAATAATACACTTTTTAAAAGAGTTTATTGCTGTTGAGTTATAGCTACCAAAATATTCTCTACTTCTGTAGTAGACACGAGAGTGAAAATTTAAATACAACACTTTTAATGGTTTAAAACGCGGAATATAATGTCGGACCCTAGTAAAAATAAATTACAAATTAGTTAACTAATATATCAGTTATTATTTACTTCTAGCCGACATGCAGCTTTGCAGCCAACGCAGCAAAGATATACGTTGACGCCGTGAGGTCTGCTGTAAATACTTTCGAGGTACACGACCTGCTTCTTATCCAATGTGAGAGAATGCTCGCGTCTTATTACGTGGCAACTTGGCAAGGATTCAACCGCTCGTTTGCATGCGATGCGAGAGACCTAGCTGAGAAGTCCTTACACTATGATCGATTTATAACAGGACATGGGCTATTTATAGATATAACTGGACAAAATAAGTACGAACAATATAGTATTAATATTTAAGCTAAGTCAATAATATGTTTAAGTCAGGCATCCACAGCATTCAGTGCTGTTGCTCTAACCAATTGAGCTACCGTATCATACACGTCATCGTCGATTTTTTCAACTCATTAATACATGTTCCTTTCGCGTTTGTATATATTTCAGCTATAGGTTATGTAATATTTCATACACATTGTCCGCCAATAATAAATCATTGCTTAGTAATACGTTTATAATGAGAAATCAAGGGTTCGAATCTCATGAAAACATTAATTTTTTCTGTCAGATCAGTTGTCTATTAATAAAATCGATCATTAAATCGGACATAGATATGTGTTTGCCCCAGACCCTACACGAGGATTTAACTATACTTTAAAAATAATTAAACTTTTTTATTAAAGGCAAACACTAAATCTGTTTTGTAGTGAGTCTTGTAATTGATTGAATCTCAACGCCACCCAAATACTTCGAAATAATTCAATAATTATTAATACCTAACACGATTATAGTACAGTCTACAATACTGATATTTAATCTAGCACTTATACTTTAACACTATCTTAAGTGTAGGTGTTTGTTCAATTTAAGGCACTTAGGCTTTTCTAACGTGTAAATTTCATGGTCAATACGAAATAGTGTTTACCGCAGACGTGACCACAAATCGTGCTTTTAAGCCTACCTCCACTTTAAGATCCTGTTTGAAATATAATTTCTAGTTTAAATTAATCACAATTACACAAAAACTCTTAAGCAAATAACACAAATTAAGCCAGAATAGCCTATAATTACGTTTTATTTAAAAGGTTACTCTAATAGTGGGTAATTTAAACACTTGAAATTTTGTTATTTCTATGCCGCAATGCTTATAACGATCATATGCATTGAAAAAGTTTTAGAAAGACCTTGATAAGGGCGGGACTCGAATCCGTGAAAGATTGTACCGTTACGTAAGTGAGAGTTAAACACAGTTGATAGACATAAGTTTCGTTAACCGCTATTGTTCTATTTTTAATCGACTCAAAAAAAGGTAGGTTCTCCATATTCCTATATATTATGCTTTTAGGACATAAAGATGTGATGTGGTCATGGGGAACTGTTAAAAATCATACGGATGTCTAGTGAAATGGTAATGTTTTTCATTAAGTACCTTAAACCGCTACAATTTAGTAAAGGTTTAGTTTGGAGATGAAAATATGGTGCCAGGAGACGGTCGAAGGAACTCCTCGACGTTTCACAGCAGCTACGTTTTGTTTGAGCTTAAATTATTTGTATTGTTAAAAACTGTACACATAGTGTGTGCCTATCGTATGGGGCCTGATTATGAAGACGAGGGCCATTACTGTTAAAATACTTTTTGAGATAATGTAACTCACCTTAAAGTTCGAATTCTTGTCATAATTATACTGGTCTAGGGGATTTGTCATGGTAATGAGGTCGTTGACGATCTCTGGCGTCCGTAGTGTGGTCGCATTGCCAGCGTTCTCTGCTGCTAGGAGGTTGATCATTGCTGCGTTCAAGTTCACGTTGACGCTAAGGTACTGCCCCGTTTCCCCGTCGGTCCCAACAGCAGCAGTCGGTGATGGAGACGTGTCCTCACATTTGATTGTCGGCACCGTTGAGCTCATGCTCGAAGAATTCATTATATCCTTGTAGGGAGCCAGCTTCACTGCTTTTTGGTTAACTTTTGCACTAAAACTATCTAATACTAGGTCTATATCACGGATACTATCACTATGCTTAACTAATTATCACTCTTGTGGTAAACTGGTTCCCAATGGCACTTTAGTCTTACATTAGAAGTCTTCACGTCGTAACGTCCGCGATCTGTAAGGGAGAAAATTTTTTATTATTCATTTATATCCTATATAGCCTTAAATAAGTTATTTCAAGACTCGATTAGATACTGTCTATAGTTTACGCGAGTAGTACACGTTTAAATAAAACACTTTAACGGATTAAAACGCAATATATTAGTTAAACTTATTTGAAAATGATTTTTAACTTCGGCCCGACGTTTCGAATGCTTTGCAGCAGCCGTGGTCACGGGGAGAGAGAGTTTAACTAATATATCGTGTTTTAAACCGTTAAAATGTTTTATTTAAATCAAGACTCGATTGTTTGATGGTAACAATGTATGGCTAATATTCAACGGGTCGTGGGTTTAATGCCGGCCGGGTCCAACATATTTCTAATAAACTTATATTTTGTCATTTTAGAATTCATCTGTTAATTCTGGATATTAAACAGGTGGAAGAAATATCGAAATTCTGCCTGGGTCCACAAATATTAAAGCTGGGTAGTGTAACTGTGTCCAAAATCCAAATAAGTACTTGATCTTTTCTCATTCTGTTTTCGTCTATAATGAAAATAAACTGTATTAGGCTAGTTAAAACCAATATTTATTTATTTAATCATTAAAGTTACAATGTCATTGCAGGTATATAGTAATGCTTAAACCCCCTACGAAGCTCTATGATTAAAGATGTAGCCTAATCTGGGGAAGTGATAAATTATTTTATTCGGACGTAGACATATGCGAGTATCTGTGCCCATTTTACTTATCCCATGCTCAACAGTGGAAGCGGGATTTTGCACTTAAATCTACAATATCGTATAGCCAGTGAAAGACTAGCCTATTAATTGTGTATGAACAACGAAATATTTATCCAACACACTTGTGCATTATATCGACTGGGCCCCAATTTCGCAATCAAACAGCTGTTTTTTAATTAGCTATCCGCTCGTCGCGACCTCGGAGCCAGGATGCTACTTCAATAAAATTATTTTTACAGGCACCAATTGTATGCGAGCCATAAAATTAAAACTAGCGCTTTTTACGACTCATTTTAACAGGCTTCCGCGTGGCAGATCGCGGCTATTGTTCAGGCAGACTAGATGTCGTGTGGATTACTGGCAAGGACACCTCCGGATTAAGTAATTAACGGAGTTACGTGTGTTAGCTCAGATAATATGAAAGTTTGGTTCTTATACGGAGTTGTCCATTAATCCCATGATGCTTGAAAGGGGGGGGAGGGGTTTGATAAAAATCACGAAAATAACACAAGGGGGGAGGGTGTAGTAAGATATCTCGTGTATTTATTTTTTCGTTCAATTGAGATTATATTCAGAAAATCTTAAGATTCTTTGTAGGTACTAAAAATACACGTGATGTTGAAAAGGGGGAGGGGGGTTGTTCTTCAACCTCACTACGTATCACCAATGGGGAGGGGGTTTAAAATTCTAAAAAAAGATCATGTGATTAATGGACAACCCCTAAGACACATAATGGGATCGCATAATTTATAGTTTTTCCAAAACGTGATTAAATATTACAAAATTTAGACATTAAATGGTAATCTACAATGCATACTTTTAAATAAAACACTTTAACGGTCTAAAACACGATATATTAGTAAAACTTATTGAGAAATAACTTCGGCCCGACGTTTCAGATGCTTTGCAGATAGCGCAGCCGTGGTAGGCGTGGTGATAGCCGCCTGCGCTATCGGGTTTTAAACCGTTAAAGTGTTTTATTTAAATGCGTACTACTCGCGTAAACTATACACAGTATAGAGTGCATACTTTTTTTTATAGAGGAGATGACAAGAGACGGGCAAGCATGAAGTTCACTGGATGGTAGGTGAAATATCCCAACCTTATACCTTGATCTAATCACGTTGCGCTATCGACCTATTTGACCTATTTTGGCTTTGGATATTCCGAAATCCACGGACTGAAACCGAAACGCAATTAAACTTCACGGCTTTTTTATCTGTAGACCGTTTGTGACCTGAACGGAATTTCGACCCATTAAATAACCCAGATTTCTAGACGAAGTCCAACGTGTTACAACGAATTATAATTCGAAACATGTTAGACCTGGTGGAAATCGAAGCCACGGCCCGTTATACAGTAAGCCCGTCAAAACCACGAACCACTACAATGGGGAAGCCAAGATATGTAAAGGCGAGTTTCGGCCTCAGATTGTGGAATGTATAAGGTGTTCCTTCAACGCTGGTCAAGTTAACACCGAGCTCTAATAAAAACACCGAAGCGTGACCGTAATCACGAATTATAGATACGATTAAGCGGGAGCTAAGCGTTCCATATTTAGATGCAGTCGAAAGCTGTCTGGCACCTTGACCCACCCAGCTATATCTCATATGTCACGTAAATACAATAAAACACCGACTCAGAGTAACCTAGATGCGAAAACATTTCGATCTCAACGCTGAGGAAAATCTGCCAAGACAAAATGCATCCTTTTTACGCACACAAGGCTGACTGGTTAGATGCGAATGCTGGTAATTAGTTTATTTTAAGATTTGAGTGTTTGCAAGGACATTCGTAATCTTATCTCGCATATATTTATCCAGAATGTTTGTGAAGAGTGTACTGTTTGAAAACCATTTTTTATAATTTAAAAATCGAAAATAAATTTAAAAAAATTTTTCGACTCGGGTAGGTCTTGAACCGGCATCGTCAGCGTTGCTGTTGCGCTACCGATTGAGCTACCGAGTAAAGAGTGTACTGTTTAAATAAAACACTGTTAATGGTTTAAAACGCGAAATATATTAGTTAATTTAGTTAAAATTCGAAAACAGATGTTCCACGAATTCATTATATCAAGGCAAGTTTTGTCTGTAGTTTACCCGAGCAGTACACCTCTAATTAAAACACTTTCAACGTTTAAAGGACGAAAAATATTTCCAAAAAAATGTTTACTGCGTATCTTCCGCGACCACGACGTAGTTTAAATAATTTATAAATAAATTTATGTAATACATTGCGCGTTTTACTATTATTAGTGTTTTATTGAAATATATACCTAACATACACGATTTTAAATGGTGAACAAGATAACTTTTAAAAAATTTTGTGCAAGTCGAGTTCTGCTAATGACGACGTATTATATTATAAACCGCAATTTATTAGCGACAAAAACACATTAATAATGTTGTCTTATTAGAAAATTACTCGCCGTTTAGCCGTACTGCTCGACGTTCAGCAAAAAACCCGTAGATACACAAAAACGGTGGACGCCAATGCGCGTTTTACGCAATGAAAATTCTCGTCATTTACCGAGTATGTACCATCTGTGCAAATACTGTATTAGCCGACGTTCTGTGCCACCAAATTAAACTTTAAAGCCGGGGAAAGTCACGGACGACTTTACGACTGCAGCCGTGCATTAAAATGTATTAATTTATTGTATGCTATTTCGTATGTCACAAAAGAACATTCGCGTAGGCGACGAAACACGATTATTATCCGTATAATATGCAAACACGAGGCAGTAGGACGTCCGTATCCCAAAAAGGAAAATGAAAAATAAATGTATCCGCCCGATACCGCGTGGGCTATGCTTCTCGACAAATATTGCTATATATCCGATTGCTTTTTGCCTCGACGGCCCATTAGGTGTAATTTCTCTACAATGTGGGTAGATTATCTCTTTTAGTGCTTTTTGGTTTATCATTGACTACAACTTCATAATCTATACTACTAAAGCTTGTTTGTTGTATTTCAACGCACAAAAATAAGTTAGTATAGGTTGGTCAATATATCGTGAAACGATTTATCTATAAAACATCAGACTGCGACTAATAGGAGCGAAAAAACAATTGAAACAGTGGAAGAAATGGCGAAAACGGTTGGAAATCACAAAGAATACACAAAATAATTCTTCAATTCGTACCAATGGTTCCTGAGATTAGCACGTTCAAATAATATAACTCTTTGACCTTACAGTATTAGTATAGAATATAGATATATAGAAATCATATGGATACTTATAAATATTTTAACAGTTTTAAAAACAAATTAAAAAAATTAAAAAAATATGCCATTATGTAATTATTAATGTAATAATGCCTCATAATAATATTATTATTGTGTATTATGTAGAAAACAGAAAGAAAAAGCCATTAAATACACAATGTATGTTACACGTCGCAATATGTTATGTCTGTATAAACATTTACAAAAACCTTGTTTGGAACTTTTACAAAAAGCGTGTTTAAAAAAGAATTTGCGTATTTAAAATTAAAATTTCACAACAATAAGGCTTTTATTTTACCACTAAGGTCATTGTAAAGCTTAAAGGAATTCTCTGAATGTCTTTGTCGCCTTTGATGATATAAGGCGCCCCATTTAAGGATCTCAATGCAACGATATACCGTAGTAATATTATGGTGTTCTATAACGACGAGATTCCCCTCTCTTTGTCCTCGGGATCCGACCTAGTTTCAGTCGCACCCAATGCTATAAAATGTATATATGTCAACTTAATGCTTTAGTTTTATTACGCCGTAAGAAAGTTGCATAACGAGATTTTGAAGCTGAATAATTTATTATCAGATTAAGAATATGATTACCAGATGGTGTTGCTATGTAGCTACTTTATAACAAACATTAAAGGTTATAAAGGATGCTAAAGGCAGAGTGGCCAAATGACAAAGAACTTGATTTTCAATAAGGAGGAAAATGAAAATGTGCAATAAGCTTACGCGAAAATAATTTGTACTTGTAGATTAACATTTTTAGACTATAAAATAGAAATAGCTCAAGTCATAAAATTGCATTTAGGCTACTCTGCCTTTAGCGGCCTCATATAGGTATGTAGTACAAGTTTCTTAAG